ATTGCCACGGCAAATTAAGAGATTTCCCAAAAAAGTATAAATCGAATCTGAAAACTACTGAAATTCCTTCCAACCAATTTTACAAGATACCACCAACCCAACACTTGCTCAGAGAAAGGACGGCTATATTTGTATAATTGACACCGAAAAAAAATCGAGTCTGAAGGCAAATTTGTAGTGAATCAAACTAAGTTTTCTGAAAAAATAATTTTGAAGCGAATTTTACGTTTACATTCATGTTGGAAAAAAGAAAGAACACCATATTTCCAGCATTTTTGTCCGACGCACATAAGTATTGCCAGCGTAATGCAATACATCTTTCTTAATGATCACAATCATAAAACGCAAAATTCGAGAATAGGTGAAAGAAATCATTAAACTAACTTTAAGCACTAAAAATTGCTGGTTTGCAGCAAGCAACGAAGAGATCTGATTCTAAGAAATAAAAACAGGACCAGTATATTTGATTCAATCAAACTCAAAATAGGCAGTAGATAAAATAATGAGAAAACTGAGAAAAGGTTAACAAATTAAAGCTCATTCTCAACCACCGCCTAAATGCAGTACGCAGACAGCCAAAGTCACAAACAATACATAGTCAGAAATGTATTGAATAATTCATAGAAAAGCCTAAAAACAATCAATGTTCAAACTATTTTTTGTGGATGATGTTTTTTTTTGTAAATGAATTTCTGATCAAGAAAACATCTACAAAAAAATTTGGAAAGTGATGTGTCCATTCGCTGCATTCAGATATAACAAGTCTCATAAAATGGAAACTAAGAAAAAAGTTGATTCAATAACTGTTTGTTTTTTCATGCGAGTAAACCATACACCAAAAAGACAGTAGCAAGTCTCCAAACAAGATACAAGAACAGTACTTGGCGCCTTAATTATTAATCGATGCTACCTTGAAGACGAGAGATCTCGGCCGCCACAATAACCAGACCATGGAACCTAGACAGCACTCTCGTTTCACCCTTTCCCAATTGAACTCCCTTCTGCTCAACGAGACAGCGAAAAACAAGAGAAACAATTGGCGTAAATTCCTCCAGACCTGTGATGACCGAACTGGCGCCAGAAAGATCTGGAAAGTGATACGCTCCCTGAAAGGATCCAGGCCTGTGATAGGAAGTCACCCTATTCAATTTGAATCAAAAACAATCTCTTCAGACGCAGACATAGCCAAGGCTTTTAATAAACAGTTAACAAATGCCAGGATTCAAGCCTCAGATAAGCTACTCCGGAAAACTAGACGCAAAATAGCCAAGCTCACCCTGTTAGATAACCCCAATTTCTCCCCCTACCAACTAAACATACCATTGCGGACAGCAAACTCTCGCTAGCTCTTGGGCCAGATGGCCTTTGCACCATTCACTTGAAATACCTGGGACCCGTAGCTCTTGAATATTCAACTCTTCTTTTTGAAATATCGCTGTCTGAAAATATTATCCCTCAAATGTGGAAAAAGATTATTCCCCTACCCAAACCCAAAAAGAACCATAAATTATCCACTTTTTATAGACCCATCTCTTTACTATGCCCCGCGTGTTAAAGTTTTAGAAAGGCTCATTTGCCCTGTTTTTAAGCAAAGTATCTCCCTAACGCCACACATCAACATGGTTTGCGTCCCTTCCACTCTACCATTACTGCGCTATCCACACTTGAATTTCTTTTTTTTATGACAGACGGTTTTAATCAAAATTGCCCACCGTTTTCGCAACACTAGACCTCTCGAAGGCTTTTGAAAAGGTGTGTCATCGTACTCTCGTGGAACTTTTTCATGACACCGCTCCCGATAGGTATTGTTCGTTGGCTGAAAAACTACTTGAACGGCCTAAACGCCACCACACTTTTTAACAACCACGAACTCCCCACAAAACAGTTCACTGGAGTTCTTTCGCCAGCTCTTTTTAATTTATACGTCCATGACGCTCCCACACCCCCGATAATGTTCGTCCTTATCTTTTGATCCCTTTTCCCAAAGCACTGATCGTTGAACGATTACCTTCAACATCTTTTTATTTTTTCTCTTCCAGGAAGTTATCTTTCGCGTCCTCTAAAAGACCAGTTACCATTTTTTCATCGTACAATAAAGATTTTAACAAAACAGTGTACTTTTAAACAACGAGCCTCCCTCATAAAACCCAAAAATTTTTGGGGTTACTTTTGACCCAACCTTATGCTTTGCAGCGCACTGTAAAATAACCGCTGACAATACTCGCCGCAGGATAGGTGTCCTGAAAGCGTTGTCAGGATCCTCTTGTGGACAGACTAAAGAAACCCTCCTTTTAACCTACAAAGCCTTAATACGCCCCATTTTAGATTATGCCTCCCCTGCTTGGTCACATGCCGCCAGCAAAACCTCCATTAATCACCTGCAGCTAACCCAAAATTAAGCCCTCAGAGTTATTACCGGCTCAACACTCTACTGCCCACCTGCACGGTGAGGTCGAGATCCTCAATGTTCCAAATCACCACGTTCTTTTAACCTCGCAATTTTTTCGCTCGTCATAGCGCTCCCATCACCCAAATAATTTTTACTACTCACAACTTTAACCTCCACGTCAAGTTCGACAATCGACTTTCAGCGCTTTTAAAGAAGATACTGACTCCGTTTTAACCAATTTTAACCCTTCACTCAAGCTTAATAATCCAGAAGTTTCCACTTCCGTTTTAACCACCACTAGTCCCTTTTAAATCACAACCACACAAATCTAATAACCAAGTTCATCGCAGAAATCCCCCCACCTCTAAGTATTTTGTATACCGCCTCCTAAGGTCCACCCTACAGAAAAATCTCCCCAGAGCTACCCGCTGTAAACTCCAACTCGGGTCTGGTTACAGCCGGATTTTAAACACATACTTCTCCCGACTAGACAACCAAGTTTCCCCACTATGCCCGGACTGTCACCTAACACCCCACACTAGTTGCCACATTTCTAACTGCCCCTAGAATCCCTCCTCACTCACTCCCGCAGACCTGTGGCTTGGGCCGGTGAAGTTTCTTAGCCTGGAGACGGACAAGCCCAACCCGACCAACGTCGGCTAATGAATGAATAAAACCTGTAAGACACTGTGGTGACTTTTTGTCCCAGTGCTGGAGTGGTTTCACTGCTTTCCGAAGACATCATTAAGACTTCCAAAAAAAAGTTGCCGATTCGGCAATTCATCGAGCGAGGGGCAAATGCTCTGATACTTCGCGAAAAATCTGATGGCAAAAAGTAAATCCTGAGAACAAAATGGAGCAATTAATCACGAACTACCTTGAATATGGTTTGTACTGATAAAAATAATTGGAAAAATTGAACAAACCTTTTCATAATGGGCAAGAAACAACGATGTCTATAAACTGAGCCATCGAAAAATACAATAGCGATCGAAAGATCATTAAAGAGCATTGATGCTTCCGTGCTAACATGTCCGAATCGGACCGATATCCGCAGATCATAATTGCTCTCAGTTCGTGATCATTCTTTTGGCGATCATTCCTAAAGAAAACCTAGAAATTGACAGCCTAAAGGACCTGAAATTCAGGAAAGTCAAATTCTGATCTCAGAACAAGCCACAGGTATCATCGAGCTGGGCGTAGATAAATTCAGTCGTGAAACTAAAAACAAAAACACCCTTAAGGCAAATAAATCCGGGGAGGAGAAATGGATGCAGGAAGAGAAGGAAGTTCAATGAGATAAAAGCTGAAGCCGACAAAAAGCTACGTTCAATCTGTAACTTAGCCTCTGGATACAACAAAGGCAAATGGGTTTTCACACAGGAAAACACAAGGGTCAAATTTTTAGCCATCTCGTTTACAGAAGCTTGGTAAATACTAAATACCGCTTTTAACAAACATCCGAACACGGTAATTGAGAGATAGAAGCTCGTAACAGAAAACAGAGAATGCGTCGAACAGTTCTGGGGGCAGTAATATAGTTAGCCAGCACATGTAATACGAGAGAGGATGGAGCCGAATGGCTACGGGACGTTTTCATCTGTAAAACGAAGAAGAGCGAAACTCAAAGCAACCTCGATAAAGGACGTTTACTGTTGGTTTACTGATGATACGATTCATATTCTCGAGAAAACGGTGATCAGAACTCAATCCAACGTGTAGGTTTGGGAAGATGTCCTTTTCCTTATCAGCGGAGGACAAGAAAAGAATTTTATGGGAAATGGCAACCTACCGAAATTCTGACTTAAAGCGAAGCAAAAGAAGCGCCCAATGCCAACTTGCTCGATCAAACACCAACCCGACTGGAGTAAGTCTTACAATCTTTCTTTTTATACAAGGCAAGTTTTGACAGTTTTAGAGACCTTTTCAATAGAATCGGAAAAACTCGCAATTATCAAAAAATTATACTTTTCCGCACACCTTTTCAATTCACACAAGCGAGGGGAAGAAGAGTTGAACTTCATCTGTTAAAAGGGGTTAAAACAGAACTAAAAACCATGGAGACCAAAGATCACAAACTTAAACTGAATAATTGCGACAAAGACTGCTTTATCAGCCCGATAGTAATAACGATAAAGAAGAAAGGAAAACACTAAAAACTGGCTTGGAATTCAAAACTTCTTGACGATCAAGTTTTTGAAAACAAGTACCAGATGCCAAATACTCATGCAAAAACAAGTTCCAGAAATCTATGTCCCAGAAGACTTTTACAAATATTGTCAAAAGAGGACAAGATCATCTGGGATTCAATTTCTACAGTTAAGTCCAACTGACTTTTTGGAACACACGGAGCTTATATCAAGAACTTTGCTAATGATCTCCATGCTCAAAGACGATCTCTTGTTCCTGAGAGAACTTGAGCTGAAACCAATTCAAAATGTCTTCAGCTCATTGGACATGTCTTACCATTAATTGGAGTCTTCGGAATATTTGGATGCCACAAATGCAAAGCAGACTGATGGTTGCAACGTGATATGAGACCATTGTTAATGACATGCTATCATTATTTTAAAGGTATGATCACCAGAAGTCACCATGTTAATTTGTTTTGCTTCGGGGTAACAATTGAGAATGAGCCGAAATGATATTAGTAAGATTTACTGAGAAACATCTGATTTATTATAAATGGGTCGGGTAGAACAGAAGAGCAAACCAAAATGAGAGAAAGGCTATGGCGGCAAAGAGTGAAAAAATAGAAATCTTCAGTTTAAAAACTTAAATCACTGCATCAAGCGACTCACAACTTTGACTCGACTGAGATATTGAAAAGTATGCTTTAATCTAATGAGGTGGTTGTATTAACCTACAACTTCATCACATTGAACTAGATAGATGGATCATTAAATATGCACAAAATTATAAATAAATGGTCTTCGCTAAATATTGAGGACTGCATTTCAGGTGAGGTTGCATAAAGTTTCCAATTAAGCAGTGCAAAAATTAATGAAAATCAAATTGAAATTATAGTCAAACTCAGCATTCCTGCTCAGTAGCTCTATGAAACTGTCCACATAAGATTTTTTTTTCAAGTGGGATTTTTGAGGATAGAAAAATAAAATTTACGATAGATCCCCCACATCAAGTTGTTACTGCTGATCAATGAAGACGTGTCTTGGTTTAAAGCGTTTGACGGCATTTCTGGTTCTAAGCAGACTCGCACTAGCAGTGTTTAAAGTATTTGTGAGGCTTTTAACCGACTCATTTTTGTATCTGAAGGAACGACTGGTATGGTTCTTCATGGATTATAGTAGGTCTTCATAAGGTTTCTTGGAGCCTCGCGTTCCGCTTCTAGGCTAATTCCTTCCACGAACATTATTGATTGCTCTAAAAAAATTTCTTAGGTTTTGCTATGATAAGGTTGATTATGAGAGGCACGTGCACATAACAAGGCGTCACTCGTCAAAAATCTAGATAAGCGAATCTGAAAAAGCTCAAAAATTTAGAGAAATGATGAAGCTCAAAAATTTGAGCTTCTTAATTTTTAAATTATTGAGCTTTTTCATATTCTCCTATCTAATTTTTTGAGAACTGCTAAAACCCTACAATGACCCTATTGAACAACATCTTTTTCTTTTCAGCGCCCGATGCATTTATTGAGAGGATTGGCCGGATCAACCTTACAATCCACATCCTTCCCTTAGTGACCTACCGTAGAATGTCCTCCCTAAGCATGTATTAATTCTGAAATTTAATTCCGCATAAAATATTCATTTTAAACAAGCTCGCAGAATAAACGACCCGACAAAATTTTTTATACGAAACAGCTATTTTAAACTGTTAATAATCTAAAATATTAATCATTATTTTGTATCGATGAAATTTATTTGCCCAATTTATAGATCAATTTATTTGCCCTGAAAGTTAATTTCTGAAAAAAACCGGTTTTTATCCCCCTAAATCGATTAAAGGGGGGGGGGGAATTGTACGGTTGATCCGATTGGCCTTCGTGGGCACCCTTGCACCTGTTGATTTAATTCAAAACGGACAGATTAAGGAAGCGAAATTACACACTCCTTCTCCATAAACTCGACCGAAACACGACCCAAATGCTCCCCCTTCGGTAATGTTTTACAACATCCATTTATTGCCTAACACCCATATGAAATTTTGTCGACCTTAATTTTTTCAATGAAAACTTTCAAAGTTGGAAAAAGTGCACCCTTCCCAATCGCGCAAATACTAGATCTGCCCCTAGTTTCAGATTCGCTCATCTTGTTTTCCCTTATGCGCTAGTTCAAGAAACACACGTTTAAATAGATAGCTTAAGCTAGTTGAAGAAACGCATTGGTTATTTTAACTAGTTTCGTTATGTGCTACGATAGCACTGGACAAAAATAAATTTCAAAGAAAAAACAGCATGCATTTCCAATTCCATCGTTAAAAAACGATCAATTACTTCTGCGGCTCTGCTGATTTGAGATAGAATATTCTTACCATCTGGCAGCGTGAACAGAGTGTTGGGTAGTTTCTTGAAGTAGGCAGACTGCAGGGAGTCTCTAGCCGATATCCGCTCACTTGGATTGCACTAAAAACATGAACAATGTCAACCTCACGCTTTGCTTGTGTTATCACTTGATCACGTTAGATCCGAACTAACAACTCAAAAATAACGCCAAATTTTGATTTGGTCCACTCAAAATTTGATTTCTGATAAATAAACCCATCTCTTCATAGGATGTGACTCATTGAAGAGAAGCACTGTGACTCAGTCTTTAACTAGTTCCGTTATTTCTTATTATGCCACTGGACAATCTTTTATTTCTCAAAAAAAAGTCTATATGCATTTCCAAATTTGTTTTAAAAAAGACCAGAACGTAAGCGAACAAAAACTCATGTAATCATGTAATTTTATGATCAAATACCTAGAAGAAGCTTCTGAACTAACTTGAACAAGTTAATGAACAAGAAAACCATTTGAATTTGAAAATAAACAGGCGAAGCTGCGCTTGCGAGAACACGATCAAAAAGCAGCTCTATCAAGTTTAAAATGAAAAAGTTGAAATAAGGCTCAAATTAGCAAAACCTCGGCTACGTGTCGGATTCGAAGCCTAGCCATGTCACCTTTTGGCGTGTGCCAAATACTTTTGTGAGGCATCGGCTCGAAAGGGTTCCCGGTGTCTGACAGACTTGGGACTTCGATGTGGCAATAAGACACAATTTTGAGATACCCTATCGAAAAAAAACGGAAGAAACGGTCAAGAAAAATTTGGGGCTAGGCAAATGACACTTTTTGGTCGATTTAGGGTTTGAGAAAAAAGGGTCAAAAAAGTGTATTTAGGCGTTTCATTTAAATGTTTGGAAAGCCTTGCCCATGTAGTTTCCGAATATGTATCAATTGTTGAGTTAAGATAAGTATTCAAAATTTTAGGGTTATTAAGGTCTATCGTAATTTTAAGGCTATGCTCGAATCTTTTCAAAGTCTGATTCCAATCAAAAAAAGAACCAATTTTTGAAAACTCAACAGTTCTGGTGGTTTCTCGTGATAAATTAACTGACTGCACTATGAAAAAAAATTTTTGGGGGCTAACTTTCAAAACCTAAATGAACTGCAATAGAAGGTAGTTACTCTGACAACCCGACTTTGATGAAAGTAACATTCGGCTTCAGAAGAAATGACATAAAAGTTACTAAATAAAAATAATTTCTAGGCCCTATTTTGAGCGAGGATCACGATGGTCATGTTGTTTATTCGATTAAAAAATTTTGAGGGCTATTTTCCACAATTTTACGTTTTAGCCCTGGTGATGTCACTTTTATGCAGCGAAATGAAACTTAAGTTTGATTTCAACGCAAGGTCTTTTAAAAATCATACACATCCCACGTCACTCATTACCATCAAGCCTTTATTTGCAATGATGAGATTTCTAGAACTTGAGAAATTTAAATTTGAGCCAAGGTAAAATTCCTATGGCTGGGGCCATTTCGGCTCACTTTTGATTTTCTCATCACCCATTTGACAAATAATGATGAAATTATGCATGTGAACTCTCCATAAGTTGTATAATGTACCTTGATAAAAAAAATGAATAAAAGAGTCATTTTACTATCTTCAATTTTGTAATGAAAACCTATACAATCCAGCATGCGTTCAATGAGATGAAACTATTCAATCTGGACATGAAACCAATTAAACGGTTCCTCATAAATGTCTTCTACACTTTGGAAGGGTATCAGATAAAAATTTTCCTTGAAAACATATTTTGCCTGCTTCAAAAGGGTGAAGTTTGAAAAAATTCTATTTTGAAGTCGAATTTCGGCGGGGAAACAGCCTATCGTCAGCTATAAACCTCACAACTATGAATTTATTCATGTTCCACGTTTGAGAACTAAAGAGCTTTCCAATGACCAGTTGTTCATCATAATGCAATTTTAAACATTGAGTAAACCGAAATTGAGCTGATATTTTTGTTCGCGGTTAGGGCTTTTTTGACTCTATTTCGATTTTCTCATCATCTGTTAGGTTTATTTAGCTTAAAATGTGTGAGCGAACTCTTCATAGAGGCTATAAAACGACCTCAATGAGTAAAGAAAAATATTTGAGGCAATTCACGATCATCCATTTTGGAGAGAACACTGTTACTCTGAATATGTCGTTCACTGAATATGTCGTTCAATGAGATTAAACTTCACTGACGGATTTATTCTGATAATGAAACCTATGAAAAACGATCCCCATATGTGTTTAATGCACTTTAGAAAAATCTCAGATAAACTTTTAGCTTGAAACTATATGTGGCTAAAGCGAGTATGATGAAGTTTGACGAGAAAGTTGAAAATTTTCAAAAAACAAAAATTGGCAAACATATAGGCTTTGGTTAGCTATGAAACACTTTAACTATTTTTGTTTGTTTTTCATATTTACCTAATCAAAAGAGCTTTCCAACGACTCTTGGTTCATCGTAATGCAACTTTTCAAAAATGGGTAAAATGAGGTTGAGCCGATTTTTTCGAGGTTAGCGCTTTTTTGACTCAATTTTGATTTTTTATCATCTTTTGGACATATGAAGCTGAAACTGTGTATTGAATTCCTAGACTGTATAAAACAACTTCAATAAGTAAAAAAAAAACGAAAAAATATTTGGCTCATTTCACGATCTTTAATTTTGGAGTGAACACTAATACTATCGAACAAATCGTTCAATGAGCTGAAACTTCACTGACAGCATTTTTCTAGTTATGAAACCACCATAAATGAACAATTTGTGTCTGATACCTTTTTTTAAAACTCTCAGATAGTCTTTTGGCCGGAGAACCGTTTGTGGCTAAGTCAAGATAGATAAATTTTAAAAAAAAAATAAATTTTTTTCTTCAAATCGAATTTTGGCTAGTTTCTATGTTTCTATGTCGGTCTGATGATCACTGTTTCGTAATTAAAAAAAACTTTCCAACAATCCTTTTTGCTACAATGCGATTGTTACAACTTGAGAAATTCAAAACTGAGCCGGAGGAATGTTTTCGGTGTAATGGCTTTTTTGCATCAAGGCTGTTTTTCTCATCAATTATTAGAAAAAATTTAAAGAAATTGGGTATGTAGACTCTCGTGTCTTATCGTGAAGGTTAAGTGTTCGATTAAAAAATAATTTGGGTCTTTTTACCAGATTTAACTTTCCAAAGAACTGATAGTTTCGAATATGTCGATCAACGAGATGAAACTTCACTGACGGCATCAATCTGGATATTAAACCTGATATATCAATGATGTGCCTGATATTAAACCTGATATATCGATAATGTGCACTGATATAACGGATATTGTGCCTGCTATAATTTGGAAAACTTTTGGACAACTTTTTAGCTGGAAAAACGTTCGTGGCTGAATCAAATGATGTGAAAATTGAAAAAAAAAATTTCAAACGTTTGAAAAATCTATTTTTGAATTAATTTTTACGCTTCTCAAACTCAACCCCTGCTGAAAAAAATTGGATAAATTTTCAATTGTAATCAGTGAAAATCTCTTAGGTATATCTCTCACTGTTCGTTTGAGATGCTATGCTTGATTTTGGGGTTGTTTTTAACTTGTTGGTAATGACAATTTGGGGGATTTTTTTTTCCAATTTTAGGTTTGGGAGTTCAAATATCATTTTTTTTTATCACTAAAATTTTTAGTCGATTCACCTCTTGAAAGAAGGTTAAACCGTAACATTATGTTTTAGTTCAGTTTGATATCGAATTTTTCGCTTTTTGGCTGATTTTCGGCCTAGGGGTCTTTTTTTGGGGCTGGGCTCATTTTACTGGTTTTTTGTGTTTTTTCCAAGATGTAACAAACCTTTTGCTGTTCGTTGGTGTTTTTTGGACTTACTAAGGAGTTTCAGCTAATCAGACATTTTTCTACACCCCAGTGTTAGGGTTGGGAATTCCCATCTTGAAAAAGGTTTCAATCGTAACATTATGTTTTATTTCAGTTTATAATCGATTTTTGGTTATTTTGTTGTTTTTGGGCTAGGGGACTCTTTTGGGGCTAGGGTTCTTTTTTGGGGCTAGGGGTCTTTTTTGGGGTTGAGCACTTTTTGAGGTGTTTTCCTCTTATTTTCTAACTTTTAGTCAATTTCCTTGTTGCAAAACTCTGTAAATTCTAGTTTTTCCGTGTTTACTCAACGAAGTAAGAACCTTCTTGTTAGTTTTTAGTAAGGGTTTTCAGACGAAATTCAGCTATTTTCGACCAAAAAAGTAGAAACTTGCCACTTTTTGGTGTTAACCCCAAGTTCCAAAAAGTGACATCGACCATGTCACTTTTTGGTGTGACTGTTTGGCTACGTAAAATTTACCAAAAAGTGACATTAGACCATGTCAATTTTTAGCGATACTTTCTGGCAGCAGAAATTGCCCTGCTCATGTCACTTTCTGCAGACCCCGTAGCCAGAAAGTGACAGGGCTAGAACCCTAATAAGCGACCTATCAAATTTGAGTCTCACACGCTGAACACTCTAGCCAATAATGAAGCTACATATGCTAGAAAATTGCCAATTCGATGCGCCAAAGGTAGCACCATATACAAAAAGACACAATTTTGCAATTAATAATTTTTAACATAGCCAATCGAAGATTGGAAAGAGTAATGAACACAAGTAAATATAAAAAGAAACACTGAAATTCTAGAATAATTTCGAAATTCAAAGAAAAAAAATAGATACCTTTTGAGCTCTTCGAATTTCTACGGCAATTAATGATTGGCGCTTTTTTGATAACATGAACCCAACTGGAGAAAACTGGATCAATAAGAAAAGTTTTTAGGCTGGAAATTTAAATTATAAATTCAACTTTCGAAACTAGATATCTTTCACGTTTTTTCGCTCCATTTCCACGTCCGTATTCGAAGATTGCTATTTTGTGTCATTTACAGCAGATGAATTTCAATTGAACTCAATAAAAGCATATATACCTAAGTGCATTCATAAAAGCATCAATATATATGAATGCACATATTCATAAATATTCACAAACAATCAGCAAGAACTAATTAAAGTTTTCACTACGTTCATTATTCTTAATATAACAAGACTGCTCGTATCAGGGAGAAGCCGTGAATGTTCCGACTAAATTTAGAGGTCTAAGGAGCAGTTATAACATTAGAAGAAAATTGTAAAACATTTAAAAAAAAATTGAGATTTTTTGAGAAAATCATCAACCCACACGCCATATAAAACACAAAGTGATATATTTCGCCCTTAGTAACAAATCAATTACGGCAAACAGCCTGCTTCAACTAAGTTGGAACGATTTCTAAGACGGATTAAATCTACGCTAACGCATTAATAGAGCAAAATATATCGCGCGTTAAGTGTCCCAAATAGGCCATAATGGCAATCTTTCATTTCAATTGTCCATAATTTTAAAAACAATGATCACAGGTAAAATACCTTTTCAAAGCACAACAATACCTTTCGAATGATAAAAAACGTGAAAAATGGCTAGTTAAAAAATTGAATTTTGTCTGAAGAAAAAAACCACCCCGAGCACAAATATTCCGTTACTTTCATTAGAAAGTCGGAACAATAAACTGAAGACATCCACAATAATTTTACATATAATAAATCGGAAAGCATAAAAGCACATCATGTATAAATTACGCATTCGAAAAATTGCGAGGTATATTGAGTTAGAAAATTTCTCGAAATGAGTTTTAATTATAGTCATGTCGTTTGAAACAAATAACTTTTTTCAGTTCATTTGATGAATTCAAAATCCATCAACGGTGTCAATTTATTACTATTCGAATGTCAAAGCACATTCTATGAAAAAGCTGTAAAGATCCCCAAAATTGGTACCAATATTTGCGACTTAGGTTGAAAAAAAAGTTCGTACTAATACACTTTGCTTCGCAAGTAAATATAAATAGCCTTGTTGCCCTTTGGGTTTCAAGAAATAATGATCGGTATTTTTGATAAAACTGAGTTAAGTTGAAAAAACTGGATCATTAGATAAATTCGTTACTCCACTGGTAAATCTGAAAATTAAAATACACTTTCGAAATTAGTAGTTTATCGCGTTTCTCGTGACCTTTACACATTTGCTGTTCGAAAGAAGTTTGACTTTCGTTCAACAAAAGAAACGAACTGAATTTACAAGAAATCAAAAGTCAAACTGCGAAAACAAATTTTAGGACTTTTCCTGGAAAAAAAAGTTGGAAAAGTGTAAAAGAACAAAAAAACCGAGAGCGAGTTTAATTTTTTGAAAATGCGAAAAAATGTCATGTTGGAGTTTTTTTGAGCTCCGAGATTGCTAATGATTGGCACTGAATTTTCCAGAAAAAAATGGAAAAAGGTAAAATAACAAGGGAACAAAACAAATAATGGAAAATTCTTGAAAGTTCGAAAAAAGTTGAAGCTCTGTACCGAAGACGGTTTATAATTAGCAAATTTGTGAAAACTGTTTAGACATTTAGAGAAAACTGAAAGGTTATTTTTTATTTTTCTCAAAATTTAGAAAATTAAAATGCATTTTTGAAACTAGAAGTCATTCGCGTTTTTCGTGACCTTTTCACTTTTCATGCTGTTCCATAATGGAGTTTGCCTTCTTTTCAAAAAAGAAATGAAGTCAATTTAAAGAGCAATTAAAAGTCAAACCGAGAAAAATCTAATTACAGAGTGACCAAACTTCAACTTTTCGTGAAAAAAAAAACAAATAAAAAATTACCAAGACCTATATGAGAGTATTCACTACGTTTATGACTCTTAAAAACTTACTAAATTCATTTATTTCAGAAAGAAAAGCAATTTTACGCCCAATTTTTTTTGGAGCGTGATTTTAAATCCGGTCTGAAAACTAAGCCCTTTCTCAACGTTCAGTAAGACTTCAGAAACGGGCAAACTAAATCCTCCTACCACTACAAAAAAAAATAGGAATGCGCTTCTATTTTCGCGACATCAAAATTTTTGGCTTCAAAATTGCACCATTTCCCTGAGCATCATAGCGTGAAACTTCAATTTTAGTACTCCGCCACAAAACCAAACAATTATTTGGCAGGGAGGGCAACCCTATTCTAAACTAAGCTAATCAATCATCAATAAACAGCCTCTGTTTATAAGGCAGAGCCAGCCTACGCAAAATCAAATTGGTACAAGCAAATCGAATTACCATTTATATCTGCGTGAAATTTACTCAGCTAATAATCCATAAAACTCGCTTACTCCCGCCCATTACAGAGTGCTACCTTGTCTCAGAAAGTTTATTTAAAACAAATAATCTTACGCGGAGCATGAAAAAATTGGCACGTATCTGGCTTCTTTTCTTTTTTGCCTTCTAAAATTGCTTTAACGGATATATTCTTTCAGCGATAAGTCGCACATGAAATACCTACTTGTTGGCATTGACCTTATTTGCACTTTTAAAAAATGAAAGACATAAGCAACCATTTTTCTGAAAACTTAAGCAACAGCTTGGAACTTGAAGACTAACACTAAACACCACCAGAAAATTCTAACCACTCCTATGGCGTTTTATTTTCGAGCATAATAGCATGTACGGTCCATGCGGTACTTTATGGGGGAATTGACACAGCCGCAAGATCAATCAGATCAACGCATAAACTAAATCGCAACAGTTTTGACGCGTTTCGATCCAAATGTCAACAATTTGCACTATCCAATAATACTTGTTTGAGTTTCTGGGCAAATTGTTATTCGGGCAAATGTAACTGACACGTCCCAGTTAGAGAGGGAATACCATGTTAAACCTACAGTGGTAGACAAATGTTTATCAACACAGACGTTCTTATGTTGGAAAAATAAAGGTTTCGTGTCTTATTATTCAGCTAAATGTGCACTTTAAATGACTTGCAATCAGGACCGGGCAACTTATGTCTGGTTGCAAAAAAATGAACTTTAGGCCTCGAAAAAAAAATGTCACCTTGTTTACACCCAAACATATGGCCAAAGACAATCTAGTTGACAAAAATATACATGAACTATACAAAAACGCACAATGTCCCCTCGTCCATTTATTTAAGGGAAAAATGCGGATTTCTCAGATTTCCAATAACATGATCTAGTTGGATTCATTTAGATTTTAGTTAGATTCATTTACTAATGGAAAACTAAGCACCGCATGAATCATTGGCATCTGGACAGCTTTTAAAACAAACAACCGCCAGACAATTCTTCTCCACAAATGGTTAGACTAGCGAAAAACATAATTTTAGAAGATGTCAAAACATTGTAAAAATGATAGATAAAAACCTAGGAATTTGCACTTCGCACAGGCTTTCTAGCAGCAACGCTCATGAAAAATTGATTTCTTCCGCCCCAGTGAATAAATTGTTTACCGTAGCTGAAAGACTAATAATGAGCTACATCTCAATGGAATATACACTGATAGGTGGATGATTTTTCATTTCAGATGAAAACTTGGGCAGCGATGGATGATTGATTTACTTTGCAAGCTCCTGCATTGCAACAATCATAACATCGTCTCCTTTGAAAAGCAAATTGAGAGAGAATCCGTCAAAGTTCTTTCTTGAAATAGTTTTTTTCCATTCAAGTGAAAGACACGAGGTCGCGTATCAAGCAAAAAAAATCGCATACGATATTCTCGGTAAGAAGAAGGCCCCTTGGATATAGATTGCAGCAAAAATGGGAAAAATAACTGAATTTGTTTCTGTTACCTTCAGTAGCGATTTAGCCAGATCTTCGGCATGAGGAATTAGCATCATTCTGAAACCAAGAACCAATTTATTTTGGTTAACTTTCCAATGTCTCGAATCAGATAGGAAGATTTAACTCACTTTGGCATACTCTTCTCCAATGTGTGTCCTTTATACTTTTTGAAGTCTTCTAAAACCAGATTCAGATGAAGATTAACGAGTAAATGATAAATAAAAACTGACCGTAAAACTATTGATCTTCACTTACTGAAAAGAGGAAGCTCTGATACGCCAGGCCAAGTGGACTCATCTGGGGTCCCAAGAATCTTGAAAAAGACGAAATTTCATTATCAAGAACTTAATCTAAGCCAAACCAAATAATGCCCTAATTACATTACAATAATTCCCCTTAAAACCGATTTCATCGCTTTTTATTTCCTCAAGAATTAGTATTTCTGTGTCAAGGTAGCCACGATATGTTTTCTTTTGTTCCCTTTGGAGCTAGAAAACGTTTTCTTTAAATAGTTGTATAAGTTTGTGTGTGAGTACCCGGAAGATCTTGAGCAGCTGGTCCCTGGGATCTTTCACTCCAGGAAAAGTGGGCAGTCCCGAGATCATCTCGCAGAAGATGCACCCTACCCCCCACATGTCCAGCTGGGTGGAGTACTGGGTGGAGCCTAGGAGAATGTCGGGTGGTCTGTACCACAGAGTGACCACCTCGTTCGAGTAGGACTGCGTTGGCACTGACTTCGCACGCGCAAGGCCTGCAAAGAAACATGAATCAATGGACAAGACATCAGATACATAACTCAGAAAAATCTGTTTCATTTTGCTCATGAAGATACCTATTAATCATACTCCTCTATATGCCATAGACAATCACTCACAATAAGCTGACCGTCAATCTGATAACAATGATAATAAGCTTACCATCAATCTGATACCAATGATTGCTTCCTGTGATCGATCAAAACCACTACCTATTTAAATCTATGTCATAGAACTTTTGAAGTCATCGAAGCATAAGAACATTTTCTCGTAGGTAAAATTCAAAACGAGTTGACAATTGCTGCACATAGGATTTTCCACAGAGGCGAAGCTGCACATAAGATCATGCTGCACATAGTATTTTCCGCAGAGGCGAAGCTGCGCTTCGCAATCACTTGCAAGAACACGACCAAAAAGCTGCTCTATCAAGTTAAATAAGTGAAGTATAACTGAGCCTCGAATTAGCCAAAACCCGGCTAGGTCTAGAACTCGATCTGCGACCTACTGCAATCAAGAGATGTTCAGTCTCACGCACTTTCCCCTCAACCACTCAAGCTTAACAACCGACAAACACTAGTCACGATTAAAGCAGCTATATATGCTAACAAATTGCCAATGCGATTCAGCAACAAATCCAAACAGACTCAATTTTGCTCAAAAAAATTGCAAAATATATTGAGTTAGAAAATTTCTGAAATCGAGTTTTTATTTCTGTGATGTTGTTTGAAACAAATAGCTTTTTTCGGTTCATTTGATGAACTAAAAATGTATCAACTGTGTTAATTTATTACTATTCGAATGTCAAAGCACCTACTATCAAAAAGCTGTAAAGGTGCACCACTATTATTGGGGTGCCGCACCATAAGTAACGCACCAATATTTGCGACTTAGGTTGGAAAAAAAGGTTCGTAATAAAAGCTTCGCAAGTGTAATAATTATTTGAGCCGCGTTTTCATTTGCCATTTTAAGACCCAAAAAACCAGATTCAGAAAATGCATTTAATCCACATGTATTCATGAAAAGATTTTTCCTACCAAAGTCGGCTAGTTTGAGTTCTCCGTGTTGGGAGATGAGCAGGTTCTGGGGTTTGAGGTCCCTGTGAAGGATCTTTCTGTCGTGGATGAAGGCCAAGCCACGGAGCAGTTGAAACAGAAATAGCTGCAACACCGGATACCAAATTATAACATCTTCCAACTACAGTTTATATAATGATGAAATCAAACAACCAACCTTTACATTGTGCGGGTTGAGACCTCCATTGCCGTATCTCTCTAAGTAATGATTCAGATCCGTACACTAAAATATCACATGAATATTTTAATTTTAGATAACACAATTTAGAGTTTAAAGTCTTAAAAATTTTTTCGCTAGTCCACTTATTGCAAATGCTGTCTACTGTTTACACAAAAACCAAGAAAACACAACCGAGAAAACGGCAAAGATAAAAAGAGAAAGCAAAAATTATTTTTGAAAAATAAAAACATTCTATGAGCGGAAATCGAACCACCAACTTAGAGATTAGGATTCTCACGTCCTCCCACCTGCTTCACAGGCTTTAGTCTTTCGGTTGCCACTAACAATGCGGATATCGTACACATGCTATAGAACACATGCTATACAACAAAAGATGCTCGAACTTTTTAATGATTTTTTTTATTTGCGACTTGGGTTGGGAAAAAAGTGAACAACATTAAATGAAACTTGTGTAAAAATGCCACATAAAAACTACATTCCTGATATTATCAACACGTACCAGGTACTCGAATACAAATATGAGCTGTTTGGTGTTGTAAATGATGTCATGTAGCTTGACGATGTTCGCGTGCACCAACTCCCTCAGCAGAGAGGCCTCCCGGATGGCTGTGAAGGGCGCACCCTCCTCCTCGTTCAGTCGTATCTCCTTGAGCGCGACCTCGTTCCCTGCAGCAAGTATACACAAGTTAGAACTAGAAAGAAGACCATGCCAAATGCTGCGCCCATAATATTTCAACTTTTCAGGTGTTCATCCTGATACCATTTTATTTCCGCTAGGAAACAAAAAAATCCTCTCAACCGACCGGAGTTAAACCATCACAATGGAGTAAAGCTATAAACAGAGGAGAAGCGGAGTGTCGCAACAAAAAAAATGAGATCAAAACCATCGAAAAATTAAATGGAATGTCGAAAAAACTACAACTTCAAATAATTCTTGAGTTTGCCTCGAATGATGTTCAATTTGAGGAAACAATCTCACGAAACATAATTACCCAGTTAAATAAGCAATTTAAATTTTTTAGCGAGCGGCAAATAAGCCGAGAATAATTGGGAAAACTCCCGTTGAACCGAAAACAAAATTTTGTCATAAAATTTCAGTTTTTGCGCCAAACTTCCGGCGCCCTTAAAACCACGTAAAAAAAAATGAGTCAGCCGATATCACATATGCCGAAACCATTCAAGCAAAACAAAATGATAAAAATTAAAAGGAAACTATTTCAAATCATAGTGAGAAAAGTTAAAAATATTACAAAACGATTTTCAATCACAGTAAAATTGGCTAAATCCGAAAAAAAGACGACAATCAAGCAGACAAACAATAGTCCAAAAAGTTAAATTTTTTCAAAAAAAAAAATCAATTTGTATACGCATTTAAAAATACAAGCTTCGTTCGGGATATAAACCCTAGACTTTATGATCCCTTGGCACGTGCTGCACCACTAGACCAAGTCGGAAGAGGCCAAAAAGATTTTAAAGTTCCGTAATAAAGCAAAGTGATTTTCCTACAGATTTGTAAAGTTCTTGAATGTAAACAGTCTAGTTCCCGATTACAAGTACACTTGATGCGAGTGAAAATTAAATTATAGCCAAAATAGTGGGAAAAGTGTAAAAAAAAGAAAACCGAAAAATGATTTAAAATTATGTCGAAAAATAAATTTAAGTTATCCTCATTGAATTTCAAGAGCAATTTATCATTGAAAATTTTGGCTAAATTAATCCAATTTAAACAAACTGGATGAATGGGGGCAAATTTTTATTCCGATGGGAAATCTGATAATTAAAGTCTATTTCGCACTATTTGCGCTTTTTTAATTGGAGAGCGCAATTTACCTGAACTTCAGCAGAAATTGACTTGAACGCAAAAATTGCATAGAGACCTAAGTGTGTCTTATTTGCAGTTCAGTTGTTATTAGAGCATTTTAAAACTTTTTCCTGAAAAAAACTAACTAAAAATCATCAAGACATACAGTAGTGAAAATCACTTTGTTCTTTTCAAGTTGAAATTATCGTCATCAAATCTTTCAATGTTTTTTTGTACAAAATTCCATTGATGCAATAGCAAAAATTTGATGCTCTGAATTGCGCATATTCGTTTTCAACTAAATTCGTTCTCGTTGAATTGTGGGAACAAAACTGGAAATGGAGTCATCATAATAGTAACAATTCATCTACGTCATAAAAACGTCAACTTATTGCTTGGGTAATTGAATTTCTTTGGAATGACAATCAGTTGAAGTCATCAAATGCACACATGCCTGGAATTACGTCAATTCAAATATACAAAAAACTTTATCGTCTATTGAGATTTTTAAAATAATAGTATTTTAATTAGCATTTATACGCGATATTTACCAGTCATTAGACTGACTCCTTTGTACACTGTCGCGTACGATCCCTCGCCCAGAACCTCGAGTCGCTTGTAGTTCTCAATCTTCCCATACTTTCCACCGTTAGGCACAAAACTACTCGTAGAACAAAATGCTGGCGTGGAGTACCTCTTAAAGTACGGATCACTCTCCACGCCTCCAATCCCCGACTTAGTTCTGCGTGGTCTACGCGTCACTGACGTGTAATCACTGCTGTTGGACACGTGGTTGGAGTGCCCATACATGCTACTTTCCTTGTCCATGGCCGTGATTGATTTGGACATCTTGGGGTTAGCGAGCGGGTAGACAACTGGCTTAGTAGCACCATTGGTTATCGAAGACTTTTGCTTCAATAGCGAGTGGGAGTGATGATGCGTCAAATTATGCTGTTGTTGCAGCTGCTGTTGTTGTAGAAATACATGCTGATCTCTGAGATCTCTGGGATCCATCCTCATACTTCTCTGATCTATTCTCGGATCTCCTCGACTTATATTGCTTCCGGAGCTGTTCATTGGTTGTAGAGGAGGGTGGTAGACGTTGTTATTAATGCCATTAAGATGCCCTTGGTGAGGCGCGTATGGGTTGTACTGCTGGTGGTGAAGTGGTAGTGTGTTCGTGTGATTAAGGCCTGGGTTCGAGAAGGCAGGGTACATGAAGGCACCTCCTCCTGTACCATTTGGCGTGATTCCTCCAGAGTTAACTGTGCGGTTCATTGTGGCGTTGTGGGATTGGGAACCACTGATATCGTCCCTTAAAAATTGAACATTCAATGCAAGCGAAACAACATAATATTAATATCCGAACCACTATTTTATCTTAAGTTCCTAAACACATTGATAATAATATTAAATAATAATTTCTTATTTTTCCTGCTGTTGACCTAAAATTGAACGGCAACAAAAAACATGAACACTCAGTAGCGGATATAGGGAGAGCGATCCTGCCCTTCTCTCAGGGATTTGACCCCGTGCCGACCCAAAGGGTCCCCCTTTGTACTATTTTGAGATATCCATTTTTGCCTGACTGACGCTAAAATATTTCCTATATATATTAATTTTTTAAAAACTATCATTAAGAGCACGTGCCCTTCTGTTTTACGAGAACAGCAAACTCAGAAATTTTGCCGTGAACAACAATTCAGTTGATTGCAAAAACGAGCCTGCCTTGAACTTTTTTGTGTGAAATCTACACTAGTGGACAATATTAAGCGCAAATTCTAGATTATACTCTGTTACAATGCCAGTTTTCAATGTACATTTTGGACAACATTTCCTTCGAAATTCAGAAAAATTTTCACGAAGTCCCAGAGCAAATGAGCAGAGCTTCCATCTGTAAAAAGATTTGGTTTCAATGACTTACCAATGTAATTCGGGTCTGAAAAAACCAGTTTTTCTCACCTGCACTAAGTTTTACATCGTAGTGAAATCTTTCTTGAATAAGCGGAGTAAAAAATTTGTTCATGCAACATGGAACATTCTCAGCGAGAAAACGGAAACAATCAGTGTAAAATTTTTACTAAACTCAGTCGTTTGTTACTTATTCACGCGAGGTAAAAAACTTAGTGCAGATGAATCAAAATGGCATTTTCGGACCCAGATTACATTGGTAAGTCATTGAAACCAAATATTGATACTTTTACAGATGATAGGTCTGCTCATTTGCTTTCAGTCAATGTAAAAATTTTACTGAATTTCGAAGGAAACGTTGTCCAAAATGTACATTGAAAACAGGCATTTTAGAGAGTAACATCCTGAATTTGCGCTTAATTTTGTCCACTAGTGTATGACTGTATGGCAAAAAAAGATTATAAGGTCTTCAGCTGCAATCGACACTTTGGTTTTCATTGTAGACCGTCTTTGAGGAGTTTGATTTTAAATACGCTTAACCGAACTTACGAGACGTCCATACATTCCTTATAATTCTCATGGACTTATTTATCTCTCAAACTCAAACCACGGAAAACGGTCATCTATTCAAACGAATTTTTGTCATAATTGAAATTCATTTAATCTCAGATATTATGAAACAATGACCACACTCACGGACAAACACATGTTCAGTTGTTTACCATTAGAAATAGAATAGCATTATTACAAGCATACCACCTGACGTAACTTAATAATTATATGTACACAATGATGAAAACTTATCATGACACATATTTATCACACTTTGTGTTATTTTTCATCAGCGGATTGTTAACAGGACTTGGAGTTGGCGGAAACACTCTTTCGCTGGCTGCTTTCAACTTGAAAGTGTTCGGGGATACCAAATATACAACTAAACCGATGGCAAATCATGTCTATGTTGATCAGAGTAAGTCACATTCAAATTATACACTAGTGAACAAAATTAAGAGCAAATTCTAGATTTAATTTTGTAAAACGCCTGTTTTCAATGTACATTTTGGACAGCATTCCCTTTGAAATTCAGTGAAATTTTTACTTTGACCGAGAGCAAATGATCAAAGCTACCATCTGTGAAAGTATCAAAATTTGGTTTATTTTTTTTACCAATGTAATCCGGGTCAAAAAATGCCAACGAAATCTTTCTTGAATAAGTTGAGTAAAACATTTGTTCGTGCATCAGCGAGAAAATGGAAACAATCAGTAAGAAATGTTTACTAAACTCAGTCGTTTGCTACTTATTCACGCGAAGTAAAACACTTGGTGCAGATACAGGGGCGGATCTAGGATTTTCTCGAGGGGGAGGCGGATTTTCAGAAAAAAACGAAATTTTTGTCGACCTTTTTTTTAGAGCGACCAAATTGATTTTCGGGGCTCTCACAAGCACTACAAAGACCCTGTTTTTGCCAAAACTTCTGCGCCGCAGGCAAAATTTTGAAAAAAAAACAGGCCTGAAAAGCTGAAGGCGACTTTAGAAAATTTTTAAGGCCAGTCGGCCAAAAGTGGATATCTCAAAATAGTACAAATGGGGGACCCTTTGGGTCGGCATGGGGTCGAATCCATGAGGAGGCTCTTTTCCAGTCCCCCCTTTCAAATTTGAAAAGCTTATTTAACGTTGTCATAATGCCATGAAATTTGGCGTGGTGAACAAATCGACAACTGTGAACAGATTTGTTCTTCAAACTTTACAGCGTCACATCACGCATTTAGCCGTAATAACACGTAAAACAAAAATAAAACTCGGTAATTTGAAAGGGGGGAAACTGGAAAAGAGCCCCTGAGGATAACTGGCATTTTAAGACCCGGATTACATTGGTAAGTGATATAAACCAAATTTTGATACTTTCACAGATGGTAGCTCTGATCATTTGCTCTCGGTCAATGTAAAAATGCACTGAATTTCGAAGGGAATGCTGTCCAAAATGTACAAGGAAAACAGGCATTTTACATAGTAAAATCCTGAATTTACGCTTAATTTTGTCCACCAGTGTATTATTACGCTTAAAGATTTTAAAGTGAAACCATGCTTATTGAAAGATCATTTGGCTCTTTTTACTTTTCCGCCAAATTACGTATGCATCAATTTTACAATGTAACGAGAGGTTCAGTCCTAATTAGTCCGCATGCAAAGTTTTGTTACAATCGGAAAGTGAACAGGAAACAGGAAATATTTATAAATTACGCAGGCGAGGAAAAGGAACAAGCCAATAATTCAATTCGAATAACAAAGAAAATTTAAAAATTTCAACCCACACCTAGGGGCCACAAATTTGAACCGAAGCGCTTTCAACTAACAGACATTATGTTAGGCTTTTTAAAAAGTGATAAAAATTCAGATACAAAAATTGACACCATATGTTGGAAATATTGATTGAATTTCAAAAATTATCATTTTCACTAAATCTGGCCTCATATTCAATCAAACTTTATTTTACTAGTGTTTTCTTTTCTATCGCAATTTTCTATCACAATGTTGAAGCTCAGCTTTGCCGTACTTTTACTTGTTCTGGAAATTCATGGATCTTGTAAGATAGCTAGTGCGGCTGAAAAATTATCAATTGCCGGATTCAATATGCAAGTGTTTGGCGATACAAAATATTCAAGTCAGTCATTAGGTGATCATGTATACATCGATCAAAGTAAGTAACACACCATCAACAATATTTCCAGAGAAACTTTCATAGATTGAGATGAGCTACTGTGGCTTCTTAAATACCAAAAACGAGCTTATAATTTACCGACCAATAAATCTAATTCAAAATCTCCAAAATCAAAAAAACTAACTTAGCGATAACTTTGGACGGGTGCGTTCAACAGTGCCGTATCTGAAAACAATGTTTCGGTTCTCTTGAACAAGATTTTAGATTTTATCAATGGAGTACTTCGGCACTGTCGCTTAGTGGAAAAAAATCATAAATTTTATACAGAGGCGAAGCAGTGCTTCGCACAACTTGCGATACAACACAAACATAGCATGACAAACTATCAAAAACTAGATTTTACCAAAGTTTTCATAACTATGTCTGAATTTGTCTTAAAAAACGTTCATTTTTGAACACGAAAAGCAAGACAATATATGGAAGATACAAAAGCATCGAATCAACATTGGTACGAAGCGGTACCAAAGCCGACAATGTTTAGGCAAACACTCGTTAAGCCCCAAAAAAAATTTGAAAAAAAACACACGCTTAAGAAACTTGTTTCGCACATCAAAATGACACATAAAGCCGAGTAAACATAATAAAGCTAAAAAAACAAAAGATAAACGAAAAAAAAAACAAATGGAATCGGACTATGTAAATTTAAAACCAACATTAGAAAAAATTCAGAATTGGACGAGTATTTAAACTGCGAATTTTTTCAAAATATCTCTGCTGGTTGACGGAAGTGCAGATTTCAGAAAAAGTTATTTTACTGGACAAGTTTTTTACAAGAAAAATCTATGTTCTGAATTGATGACGCTTTTTGATCGAGAGCATAATGGTTGCATGAGCAACAGCTCCCTTCACATTAAACAACGAAACAATAAAATCAAAAAATCTCTTTTAAATTGAAACACTTTTTTTCACTTGAAAACTCTATTACCTCTACCAATTGGTTTTAGACCTCTACCAATTGGGCTTTAGAAAAGGCATTCAGAAAATTATAAGGTAACTTTCAAAAAGGTTCTCTGCTACGAGCACTGAGCAAAAAATAAAAAGCTGTCGATAGTTAGGAAAATTCAGTAAATTTCCTAAAAACAGGTCCCGGCCGGATTCGAACTCCAAACCATCGTCGTCTTAAGCATCTGTGTTACCTTTACCCAGATGCTCTGTATAGTTGATTTAACTTGAATTTTTTATGAAGCAAGTCGAACCATGTGCCACATTTTCGCGCGCAACATCTTGTGAACAAAGTTCTTTATGTTGAAAAAAATCTAGTAACCGGTTGCAACTCCCTTGCTTATCGCAAGGGTAATAAAAAACAAACCACACGACCTACATGAGTGAAAATTCTTTAGATCAACACTTTATAATAATCTCGGCACAAAAAAACTGATGGGAAGATGTCATTGCACAAAGAAAAAGAAAAAACATTAGAAGCAAAATCTCTATCAATTCCATTTAACCCAAATTTACAACTTAAATTAAAATCCATTTTTGAAATTAAAAGACCTGTTTCATTTATAGCAACTTTTTCATTTTTGATGAGGAGACCTCTCAAAATTAAAAACCCTTCAATTTAGAGAACCAAAATGAAAAATGAACTTACGAAGCCACAAGTCAAACCCCCAAAATATGAATTTTAACTAAGCTGAACTGAAAAAACACTTTTATTTAGCTGAACTCATCTATAATTCTGAATTATTTTTGATACTTTATCCCACTTTCAACTCGATTGATCATGTCTGACATTAAGGATATCTAGCAACAAGAGGAACACGCGAGAATAGAAGCTTCACCGCGTACTAAAACCGAACAAAATGGCACAAAATGATTCGTCAAACTTTGAAACGTAACAGTAGAACTATAATTACCTTGCGTCAATTTAATTAGGAAAAGTTCAATCGGTCCCATTTTGAGCCAAAATTTAGATAATTAGACCAAATGGTAATTTTTCAATCCGCTGCGAAATCAACAACTGAAACTAAAATTTATCACTTTGTTTCGCACAAATTGCGTTTGGGTATTGAAGAGCGTAATTTTCCTTCCATTTGGTATTAATAACTCTGAACGCAAACAACATCGAAAGTTAGCCTGCAAAAAAATAAATTTGTGCGTTAAATTTTAAGTGTTTTTCAAAACACCCATCACTTAAATCAATACATTTCATCTTATTTTCATTATAAATTCATAATAAGCTAGCGTGTAACGCACCTCCGGTGCTTCTAGGCAGATTAATGAACGTAAAACTGCTTACAAAAAAAGAGAAAAAAAAACAATGAATGCAACCGTGACAAACAACGTGGACTTCCAACAACGCTTTTTATTTCAAAAACTGACTCAAAAACAATTTCAACTAAAAGTGTCTTTTAAAAATACAATGGTCAAATCTCCAAAACCACCGGGTTTCAGATCGTATTTTCAACTCAGAAACAACACCTTAAATGGCCGTTAGCATACAACTAGACTTTTCATATTTAAAGAATTTATAGGCGAAATCACTGAATTCATAAATGAGATTCATGTTTAAATTACTTCTTTTTTTTCATTAGCCCATACATTTATTAAATGCGTTGACAATTTCAAATTTTGAAAGTATTTTTTTAATGAGATCTAACACTTTTGAAAAGTTTTGAAAAAGCATCAAACCATCATAGCCGGGGAGTGAAATGCGTTGAGCAGTCATTTTCTGATTCGACATATGAACTTCCTGCAAAAACCTTGATAGCACCCCGCCATAGTGATGAGAATTTCAAACTGTGTAGATATTTTTTTATATTATTTCAAGTTTTTGGAAACTACTTTTCAAAAGATTGAAAGATATCGTCCTGGAAACTTAACGCATTTGAGCGGCCACAATTCGAGGCAAGAATTGCAACCCTTGGAGTACCCCGACATATCCTAACTTCAGGGTTGGAAATTTCAACTTCTGTAAAATTTTGTAGATCTAAGTTTTCTGAAAATTTTTGAAAAATCATTTTAAAAACGCCATATCTCGGAAACTTAAAGGGTTTGAGCATTCAAACTTGGTGGCACGTTTTGCAATGCCTGAGAGTAACATGACAGCGCCTCAGTATAAAGATCAGAGTTTCAAATTTTTTGAATTTTTTAAATCTGATTTTTATGAAAGACTTTGAGAAGATCATAAGAAACGTCATAACTCGACTATTACAAGAGTTTTTTGCAGTCTTATATGAAGGCAAGGTTCTCAAACCCTGAGAACACCCTCATAACACCCACTACGGGACTCGAAATTTCAATTTCAAAAACTTCTACTAAAGTTTTAAAGTTTTCCGAAAATTCTAAAATGATCTGGGTATTACAATTGGAGGCCAAATTCGCAGACCCTGGAGAAAACTGAAAGCATCCCACTATTGACTTGCTTATTTCAAAATTGGTAAAACAAACACTATCAGACTGAAAATCGAAAAAAAAACTCAGCCATTACAATATACGATATAGCTTAAACTTGAAAAACTTATTTCTTTAAACACGCAAAAATAATTTTGCTAAAGCTCAAACATGGCGAGATAGTGAAGCCCGCACTGAAATAAATAACAAAAAGACCACTTCATTATAACTTAACACTTCAGAATTCATATTGCAGTCGTCTTTCTTAAAATATCGCAACACTGCTTCATTCTCAGACAGATCAGTTTGATTGATGCTTGGGAAACTGCGTTTAAATACATTTAATTTAAACAAAAGAACTAGACTTAAGCTAATGGGGAAAAACGAAAAATAAGCATGTGAAAAGATTTTGAGATAATTTCACTCTCAGTCTATTTAGAACATTCCTTGCAGCACTTCGAGTTGAGGGCAAACTCTACCAATAGCATCAAACAAAATATCAAACTGAAATGAAGACAAATCCCTGATTGCTTGATTACATGTTCACTGACTCCTCACACCACCGTCAGCACCCCACCAAAATATTGAAAAAAAAATGTCCCAGAAACTTAACGCATTTGAGCGCCCACAACTGGATGCAAGAACCTCAACCTCTGGGAGTACCCCAACAAATCACAACTTCAGGGTTGAGAATTTCAACTTCTGTGCAATTTTGTAAATCCAAGTTTTCTGAAAATTTTTGAATAATCATTTTAAAAACGCTATATCTCGGAAACAAAAAAGCAAAAAGCATTTGACCATTCATATTTGGTGGCATGTTTGGCAATGCCTGGGATTACCCTGACAGCGCCTCAGCATAGAAATCAGATTTCAAACTTTTTTAATTTTTTTTAATCTAATTTTTTTGAAAGATTTTGAGAAATTCATAAAAAAACGTCATAACTCGAAAATTAAAAAAACTGAGCAGTCATATTTGGAGGCAAGATTCTCAAACCCTGAAGGTACCCTCATAGTAACCAACTAGATGGCTAGAAATTTCAAAATTTTGTAAAAGTTTTGTGAAAATTTAAATGACGGGTATTTATAATTGGAGGCCCAATTCGCAAACCCTGGAGAAAACTGACACCATCCCATAATTGGGTTGCTAATTTAACATTTGATGAAGTTAATACTTTCAAACTGAAAATCGAAAAAAATATATTAAAGATAACATTACACAATATAGCTTAAACGTGAAAAAATTCTTTCTTTAAACACAAAAATAATATGTTGCAAAAGCTTAAACATGGCGAGTTAGTGAAGCCCGCAGTGAAATATATAATAGATAGATTACTTCATTATAACTTAACACTTCAGAAGTTATATTGCAGTCCTCTTTCTTAAAATATCGCAACACTGTTTTCGGGACTTTAAGAAAACAATTTGAGATTTTAGAAGGCAACTCGGATTCATAAAGTGATACAATTTGCTTCATGACTCGGCCTTGTCTGACCTTTGTTTGAGCTACCTAGATATGCGTTAAAAATAAATTACCTCATTCTTTGGACAATAAAATTAACCAGTTGCTACGCAAGTAGTGCATAAATTTACGACGAGCTATCCTCAAAGAAAAATAATCAGTCGTTTTTTTTGGTTGGAGATTCTTTGTAAAACGTATATCTTCAATCTTAGACAAATCAGTTTGATGGACGCTTGAAAAACGGCGTTCAAACACTAAATAACAGAAACAAAAAATTAGACTTAAGCTTCTGGGGAAAAACGAAAAAAAAAGGCGGTGAAAAGATTTTCAGATGATTTCACTCTCAGTCTATTTAGAACATTCCTTGCAGCACTTTGAATTGAGGGCAAAAAGACAAATATATGCTCGAACTCTACCAATAGCATCAAACAGAAATACCAAATTGAATTGAAACAAATCCCTGATTGCTTGATTACATGTTCACTGACTCTTTGTTCAGCTCTTCGACATGACGTCATGCTTCTGCAGGAGATCAGAGACAAAGACGCCAGTTCCATTCACTCTCTATTCACCCAAGTCAAAGACGTAGACCCAGTCTACGAAATGGATCTATCAGAGCGAATGGGTCGGACTAGTTCCAAGGAGCAATACGCATACATTTACCGATCCAACAAACTCGAGGTTGGGTTGAAATAGACTGACAAATTAGCTGCTGATATTTTGACGGTTTTTAGGAAATGAAGGCTTTCTAAGCTAATGCAGCTGATATTGACAGCATTGCCCGAAAGGACACTTCAAGATAGCCAGCTACTTCAAGGCAGTTCAAGATAACCTATAGTGCCAGCTAATAAAAACATTCAACTGCCAAAATTCTCTCAATATTAACTTTTTACCTTTACCACTTTCTGTGCGCAAACTGCAATAAAGAGTTGGAAATTTCCAACAGCCGTCATAAATGCAGTTAGGCGATAAAAAAATAAATGAACGAATAGGTTCGTAAGTTAACACACAACCAATTGATACATGTTAGCTTTCGGATGCATGCCAAGAAGTAACTCAGGGCCTTCAAAAATCTTACAGAAGTTCTTTTACATTAGAACCTTAAGGCTAGAGATTTGAATTCTTTTGTTTTTCAGTTGCTCGATAGTTATGCGTATCCAGACCCACTCGATATCTTTGAGCGTGAACCTTACATCGCTCTATTCGAGACGGCAGCAGAGAACTTCAGATTCGCCATGATAGGACTACATGCAAAAGCAGACTCCAAATTGACATTCGGCGAAATAGACGCACTGTACCTTGTGGCCGAGACTGTCAAAATGGATCTTAACGTTGAAGATATTATCATCATAGGTATCACACTGGCAAAATCGCATTCATAGTTTAAAACCTCTATATCCTTGAAAATCTTCACTTATAAACATAGCCAGCAGACAGTTGGAAAAATTTGAATGAACCCAGGAAAGCCAAAAGAATCATTTTTTTTCGGACAACTTTCGAACTTCAAAGAGAAAAATCCATCGCGTTAAACCTCTTTAAATTTCGAGAATTTTTTCTGATTTACACTTTTTTAAATAAACTAAGCCAATAAGAGAAAACAAGGTCAATAGGTAAACGTTTAATTCCGTTTTTTTTTAACCAGAGGGCGATTAAATTGAGTATAAAAACTGCAGAAAAAGAGGAAATTATAAATAAAATGACGTACAAATTGCAGTAGAAGCAAATTAAAAGCTATCCAAATGGAGTTGAGAAAATTGGAAAAATTCAGACCATTTATTCTCGACATTGAGACAACTTTTCCGAAAGCGTTCAAAATCGTGAAAAAAACACATTTCGCCATACTTCTTTCCTAGCCCTGGGAAATACACACAACCAACAAAAATTCTTTCATTTATTGATACGTAAAATTGCTTTTCATGTTGAAAACCACATTTTACGAATTTACGAACTATTTATTTTAGAAGTCATTGTTGTTAAACACGTTTCATACTAAGTCACAACTTTTAGAAATTGTCCGAAATTGCAATACTTCTAATCATTTAAACATGCCTAAAACTGTCTAGCATGCTTAGGGGATCTGAATGCGGACTGCAGCTACCTGTCTAATGCAAAGAAGGCTAAGTTGAGTCTGGTTCAGGACACATCCTACAAATGGGCAATCGGAGACAATGAGGACACCACTGTGAAACAGTCTACTAATTGTGCCTACGACAGAATCATTTACACTGGGGACACCCTGAGGCAAGGCCAAGTCATGCCAGAACAGTGTTCTGAGCACAAATAATCAGTTCTCTTTTACTAATCTACATTTCATACAACTTAAAAAATAATCACCATGTATTGCGTCAACATAGAAAATGATAATCATGTATCCTAAGCAAAAACAGTCAGAGCAGGACAGAGGCACAAAAACCTGTATCCAACCCAATCTCGCAATGCAAATGCAGTTACATATTTAAACTCAGAGCATTAGCACCAGAGCAACAAAAACTTACACCAATAAAAAACAACAATCAATTCAATCTTGTCAAAATTGCAGCCAATAAGTTTGCAATCAACTGAACCAAACGAGCACTCACTGAACACGCACAAAAAAGTTCTTATTTTGTAAAGCATATCACATGTCTACATTCGGTTCCCTTGTAATTAGATCGCTAGTAAAATGACTTTTACTATTTGAATGACCTTGAACATGTGCCCTTAGGGAGGCATTTGAGAGGAAGGGTATAGTGAATCTGGAGGAGGAATACAATTTAGAGGAGGCACAGGTAGCCAAAATATCCGATCACTACCCTGTCTATGCCGTCTTCAACATCAACAAGTGATTGACAGAAAAAAAAACTCAAGTTCAATTAGCATTCTAGACGCAAGCAATAAAAAAGGCTAAGCCCAACTAGCAAAAAAAAACATGGTAACTGCTTTACATGAAAAATCAACAGTTGAAGGAATCTAGAAAACTTAAGGACCTTCTATTAGATTGGATATTTCATTTTAATGCTTTCAAAAAAAAACTTTTTTAATGCCAAATTATCAAGGATTTGCTGCTATGAATTGTTGAAACTTGTAACACAACAGTTGGAAATGATTGTGCATGAACCATAATTCTAGTTGACGGAAATTCTACTCTCAATGAACTGATTTTAATAACACCACATGCTGCTTGCTAATTGACCTGACTGTCATTTCCAGGAATAATGGTTGCAACGACTTAGCATGCTCGACACTGCTCACTATAATGCTCTTGTTTATTGAAATTAAATTCTGAAGCATGCGCAAAATATGTGACTGTATGCAGGTAAATAGTACATATGGATATTTTTATAGTGATAATTCAACATTTTTTTCTTCTTGTAAATAATAAACCAATTTATTGACAAATGAATTCTTAACTGAGATTCCTGTTCATGCGCAAACAAAAAAAAATAAATCCATTTCTTTCATCATACGCTTTTTCTTTGCTTATTTTATTTCCTGGAGGAGTGCCGGCACAGTAATAAACACATCATGTGAATCCATAAAAAACTTTTCTTATTATCGGAGAACGGTGAAACTAATCAAGGTACTACGAATCTGTATTTTTGCAACAGTCAAGCCCCATGAGAAATCAGCAGCAAAGAGCATAAATTCAAATGCACTTTATATTTACATCACTGTTAAGCCCTTTATACCTTGGCAATCAATTAAAAGTGACGAAGCGGAGTTTTGCACCCCTTGCGATAACATCCATTCAGATAAACAGGAAAATAAACCAAAAAAATCAAAACCAAATTTCCGATTATAATACAAACAGTTGACTTCCTAAAAAAAAACGTAAAAATTTATGACTTTATCTTCTATAACAGCCACAAAAATTTAGAGAAAATGAATGATTTTCGGGAAAAAGCAACATTTTGAGGCAGATTTTTGCTGTTTTTCAGATACTGTTTTTCATATTTTCTATGGTGACGAAAATCAAAATTCATAATAGTAAATAGTGGTTTTCGTCACCACGCGTACTATTCACAAAACAGAATTTGATATTCTCAGAACAGATAAAATAACGGCTATAAAATAGCAGCTGAAAAAGCTGCAGATTCAATTCGAAAAACTACAGAAAAGCCAAAGGGGAAGAGCCAAAAACTGCATTTTTCAAAAATTTTGACAAAACTTGAACAATCGAAAAGATATTTTGATAATTATGAAAGCTAAAAGCAGACAATTATTTAATGAAATCCTGTTCAATTGATGTAACCAAACGGTTATCAAAATATTGATCATAAAAGCTGACAAACTTCGCCGGCTATACAATAGCAGCTGAAAAAGCTGCAGATTCAATTCGAAAAACTACAGAAAAGCCAAAGGCGAAGAGCCAAAAACTGCATTTTTCAAAAATTTTGACAAAACTTGAACAATCGAAAAGATATTTTGATAATTATGAAAGCTAAAAGCAGACAATTATTTAATGAAATCCTGTTCAATTGATGTAACCAAACGGTTATCAAAATATTGATCATAAAAGCTGACAAACTTCGCCGAAAAACTGCTCAATGAAAAAAAAAATCGATGATGATGAAGTTTACAGTAAAAAAAATTAGGCCGACAAAATTGAACCAATATCTAAGAAACTTTTTAAGGAAAAGCTATGAGGCATTTTTCATTTGAAGCTTTTACAGCAAATATATTGAAAATTATTAGAGATCCACAGGAGTGCATTGACATAATGAAAAAATCGTGTAACTTAAAATCGTTTAAATCGGCTCTTGTATAACTTATATTTGTTCCGACTTTCGATACGAAAGTGACGGAATATTTGTGCTCGGGGTGGGTTTTTTTTTCTTCAGACAAATTTCGACTTTTTAACTAGCCATTTTTGACGGAGTTTTTTTATATCATTCAAAAGGTATTGTTGTCTTGAGCTCAAATTTAAAAAGATATTTCACCTGTGATTATTTTTCGTAAAGTTATGAGGGTTTAAAGATTGCCATTTTGACCAATTTGGGACAATTAACGCGCGATATAATTCGCGCTATTAACGCGTAAGCGGAGATTTAATCCGTCTTATAAATCGTTCCAAATTGGTTGAACGAAGCTTTTTTGCCATAATTAATTTGTTACAAGGAACGAAATCTCTCTTTTTGTACTTAATATGGCGTGTGGGGGGATGATTTTCATAAAAATTTTCAAATTTTAGAACAAAAAATTTTTCATTTTATTTTATTTCATTTAATTTTTTTATGTTATTACTGCTGCTCCATAAAATTTAAGAGGCTGTCGGAACATTCAGGGCTTCGCCCTGATACGAGCAGTCTTGTTTGGCTTTCGTATGAAAACGTTATAATAGTATAATTTGAGATCAAAACCCTAACTCAATTACAGCAACTGCTCAATGCTTTTTAGACTGTGTTTGCAGCTCGATTATATTTTTTGTCTCTCCGAAAACACTTTATGGACTTGAGCCGCCCTTAATATCAGGCAAACTTGCAGTACTCAAAAAAAATGCTTGTTTCATAAAAAAAAGTGACTCGCCAATTATCGCTTTCGTGTAATTCTATAACTTGTCGTATAAATCTGATCCCTCGCACAATCGTATACTTTTATATTGTGTACCGGATTTTTTGTATAACTTATCGTATACCGTATTATGTATTATAAAAACTTACCCACAGTGGAATTAATTAATAGACTGTTGAACAAAAACAACAAGACTGCTCGTATCAGGGCAAAGCCCTGAATGCTACGACTGTCTTTTTAGGTCTATGAAGCAGTATTCGCTTTTAAAAAATAAAAAATGATGAATTTTTCAACAAAAAAAAACGAAAAAAAAAATTACGTAAATTTTGAGTTTTTCTCACATCATCCCCCACACGCCATATAAAGTACAAAGTGGTGGATTTCGCTACTCGTAACATAGAATTTATGACAAATAGCCTGTTTCAACCAATTTGAAACGATTTCTACGAGGAATTAAATCTCCGCTTACACGTTAACAGCGCGAAATATATCGCGAGTTGATTTTCCCAAATTGGCCACAATGTCAATCTTTAAACCCTAATAACTTTTGAAAAATGATCACACGTGAAAAATCTCAAGATGCTTTCGGCTTTCGGCCACAATGCTTTCGGCTGATGTAAAAAACAATGCTTTCGGCTGATGTAAAAAACAATGCTTTCGGCTGATGTAAAAAACAATGCTTTCGGCTGAACAATGCTTTCGGCTGATGTAAAAAAAATCCGTCAAAAATGGTTAGTTAAAAAGTCGAAATTTGTCTAAAGAAAAAGCCCACCCGAGCACAAATATTCCGTTACTTTCGTTATGAAAGTCGGAACAATAAGGTGCACGTGTACAGAAAAAATGACGTCGCGTGCTCAAATCTGAGAACAAAATTTTTCACGGGAAAAAAATACCAGGTTGCAACAACTTGCTATCGTACATATAATAAATGGGGTACGAACAGAAACATTTTTTTTGCAACATTTGTGTCTTGTATCCGAATGTTCAACTTAATTTTTGCTACTTGACCTATGGACAATTAATTGAGTTTTTTTAATGAATATGCTGCATCGAAATAACGCATTTCAATTTTAGTTTCAAACGTCCAAGTTTCCATTAAATTGAAGAAAAATTGAACATGGCTATTTATAAATTAATCAAGAGAAAACGACTGAATTTGGTTGCTATATATACAAGGCGCTTCGGGTCGATTTAGGATCAAGGAAAGGAGTCGATTATTTATGACTTCAAACTTTCACCTGCCCCTTAACAATCTTCCCATTCTTCTGGTAATTACAGTCCAGTTATTGCCATTTGTACTAGACATGGAAAAAGCAAAAGCTTGAACCAAGTAAAGCTCTCAAGCACTGACTAATTCAACTTAGTTGTTGACAAAAACACAAATGCAACACACGTTGACTACGGTTGGATAAAATGGCTTGAATGTCAAAACTGAATCCGCCCCGCTGTCTTGTTTTTATTTCATGAAGTGTCTGACACTTGTTACAAAAGAAACCAAAAAAGAGTTAAACTTTTTCAGTATTGGCAACGCCATGCCACAGTTTTCGTTACATATAAGTTTGTTAAAAACACCATGAATTTAGATTCAACTTGACTTTGAGCTCGTTACAGCTTAAGCGTGACCTAACATATGAGGCAATATATGATCTTAATTGAAACTAAGTGCAACAGGAGTAGAACCAACAAGCTATTGAGAACTACCGGCCTTTATAAATTTAAGGAGCAAACAGTAGCATTTAGGCAAAGAAACAACTACTATTTGGTATTAAACGTCCATATAACAAATCGACATTAAGCTGGCGTGGTTTCAAACAATTTGAATGACCCCATAGCTTCAAAAAACCTCAAACCTATCACTTAACTCAAGTTGACTTAGGCACAATAAGGAGAAGCTCAGATTGTAGAAATTATATAACAAAGAACCCAAGAACTCGGTTAAAATGAACAAAATAGGGTGAATGACACGAAGACGGGTCTGATCTAGACAGTGAACTTAATAATGAGCTACACAAACAAATGAAAGCATTTCGGCTGCAAACGAATAATTGTTTCACAACTTGCTTGCCCTTAAATCGAACGAAACTAAGACTAACTGCTGTAGCAAATTGTGGTTCAATATTCGGCTAACATTTTTTTTCTATTTGGGCGTCTTGCTACTGCTTTGTTTGCTTTACTGCTTTTCATACTTGTCTATTAAGTTCATTGTCTGTATCAGACCCCACCCTTCATGGGCACTTTTTTTCTGAACCTCTCAATGTACTAGTAAAATCTGAAGCGGAAAACAGAACACTATCTAACCTTTGGATTATATTGGAAAACATATCTTCATGAGTAGAGTTCGGCTTCTGAAGCACCTTCATAGGTCCGTTGCTCTTTCCGTCGCCATTTGCAGACGGCTTACTCCTGCGAATGGAGAATATCTCAGCTATGCTTAAGGCACGTTTCGTTTTTAATGATATCTTCTTTGAAGGAGTGCGAGGCAGAGGCGGCTTCTGTTTTCCATTGACAGCTACCATCTCTGGTCTCTGCTGGTTATAATAATATGACTCATTACATGACCTCGTCATGTTATGTTCAATTGAGTCTTGAAACTCCGGCTGCTGCTGCTGCTGCTGCAGCTGAGACGCCACCCCTCCCATGTGCACGTGGTAGGCTGTCAATTCTGGCTGAGGTTGGTGTGGATTTGCGTAGATTCTCGGGGGGCCGTAAATGTGCTGGCTAACTTGAGGCTGTCTGTAATCATGTGGGTCTATAAAGCTGCTGGAGGAGGAGTGAAGGTGTGTTTTCTGTAGCGGAACACCTAAGCTATTTCTGCCCATATCGCCATTAATTTGGGTGTACTCGTATGCGTGCAGCATGTTTCCTCGGGACCCGTGATAAGGTTGCTGGTATACATATTCGTTGGGAGGGATACCATAAAGACTATTGAGACTATTGGGCGGTAAAGATATTCGGGTCCCTGGTTGGTAGCCATTGCCCAAGGGAGAGGCGGACGGTCGATAACTGGATAGCTCCGATTCATCGTCGTCCAACACGCCTAAACAGAGAAAATATATACATATCCAAGAAAAAATATATATATACTTTCAACTAGTTTAATAAGTTCTAAAATGTTTCATTCTTCGAACGTTTCAGAATATATTTTTTACGAATCTCAGCGTAATGATCGACGCTATTCCGATTTGAAATTGGATTCACTAAACATACGATATTTAGCTCAAACTAAAGGCGCAGAAGATAAAGGAAATAACAACCACAAAATTCAGAATTAGAACGAAAAAACTCAGATTGTTCAAAAAATGAAAGAACAAAAACAGAAACTTAGCGAACACGAAAAAAACTTATAATTTAAAATAACTTAGAATCTCCATAAGTTCATCAAAATAACCAATTAGTTTACCCTCAGATAAAAACATAACGTGCGTTTAGCACAATTGCATAAATTGGAACAGAATAAATAGAGAGCAACCAATTTCTGAGCGACAAGCACTAAATGTTCCAACCACACTAATTTTGAAAAAAAAAAACTATTTTTCATCCAATTTTTCATCTAAATATGTGGAGTCTTTAGTGGGCACGAGCAAATGTGCTTAGTAAAATTTGAGCATTAGTAATGACTTCAGTTGAATAGCCATCTTTTCTTTGCAAAATAAACGGCAAAACCAGAACTAAAATTTTGAACTTAAGGTACCGGAAAACCATGAGCTGAAACTTCTAAAAACTAACTTTTACAGCAAAAAACTTCACAGCTCTATAGAAATATTTTCGCAAAACAGGTTAGCTTTGATCGCTCTAATTTTGTTTAAAAACGAAGCTTTAATACAAGATTAAATCGATTCGCTCCTGACCAGTCATTAGATTTTTTTTGTGATACTAGTAGAACCAAGCTTTTAGTTCCATTTAAACTTATTCTTTAAATCGCAAGATTCACCCGATCAAAATAGTCTAAAAAGGCACAACTTTAAAGCCGGCAACGATCGAATTATGACTGTAGAAGCTTTTGATCATTTATGGTTCTAGATTTTGTTTTCAAAAAAATTTTACACATTCAAATGCATCTCTCTACACATAGGCAAAGCAACGCTTCGCACCACTTGCGATATCACACAAACATAGCATTGCAAGGTCGCACACAGAAAATATACTGGGGTAAAAAAATCGAACTACAAAAATTTCAAAGTTTTGTCAACATTGATGTTTATTTTGAGAAAAATATATCCAGAAACACAACCGTTAGTTCTAAAATTCAGAAACAATTATCAAGCGATAAAAAGCCAAAAAAAGTTATCTTAACTCCCGTTGAGTCGCAAATAAAACTTCTCTTCTGAAAATTTTTTAAATGTTCTGAATTTCTACATTTTTACGCGCCCACCATCAGAAAACACAAAAAAGGATATGTGCAGATGAGAGGTCATATGCGCTGATGATTGAGTTTGATTCATTGTAATGGTAAGCTGAAAAGTCAAAACTCCAGAAAACGAAGCAACCATTGAAACTCTAATTCATTGACATGCAATTGCTTGACTTTAGCCTTTTTCGCTTGATTGAAATAAATATAAAATCTGATCAAACGTATAGAGGAATCCCGTCCGGTGAACTCATTTAAAATGAGAAAGGATTGATATCCATTCGAGTATTGATACTCAATGTACATGATTGGTACTCAACAAAAGTGCACAGAACAATTAGAAAGAAATGGCTACCAGCTTGGTATCATAAGAAGCTAATAGGGCATCAGTTACGCCTGCACTAAGGGTGATTACTTTTAGTGCAATCGTAACCTTTCTAGTAGGATTTAACGTAGAGTTGAGCTCTCTACTCCCCCCCGCACAGTGGTGACCTCGACGAGGACGAACTGGATAAAAGCAAACCCCACGAACCGGACACGAGCAACCCCCACACAAGCTGAAAACTAGCAACACCCACATTTGGAGCCTTCAAAAACAGTACTGCAATACAAAAACACAAAAGTTTGAATACGGACGAGTCCACACAAAGGTACAACATACCACCCTATCATCCACATAGATGCACAGCAAACGACAACTTGATTAGGACCCGTGACATCAGACAACACAACACTACGCGTGTGTATCATGCCTTCTAAAGCAGTTCAAGAAGCAGTCTTGCGCGCATACATAAAAGTTTTGAACAAGGATAGCGTGGACCAAAAACAACACGTTTAACGAAGTTTTGGTACAAGACAAACTGGATGACGCACAACAACAACAACAAGAGACATCCAAGAGCTAATCACTTCGAGGAAACGACCTACGAACTACTGGCAACACTTGAAGTGGAACTTCATGACTAATTTACCGATATGCTTTTGAACCACATAAGCTCATTAAGAAAACTAAAGAAGGAGCTGAACTCTAGGCTGAATGAGTGAACAGCAACGGAAAAAGGCAGAACGGAAATAAGTAATACCTCAACGATACAAAAGAGTAGCAGTGGCTCATTCAATGGTCACCTGATTGAGAACAACGATTTGACAAAAAACTCCAAACCAACTTCACAGCAGAGTACACAAGGCAACACACAGCGGACGACGAAAAGGATATTGGTGATACAGCAAATGAAGTGTCCGCTACACGACTACATGGAAGTCATGACCAAAGATTTAGCACGAATGGGATCGCAGGCAACGGAATCTTCAATCAATTGGGCGGAAACCTATGCCATCAGTTTCCAATGCAAACCTGGGCAACTTCTGACATTTTCCTTTCTACGATGCACTGCCAAAAATCAACTTGAATAAGTTTGATGGAGACCCAACTAAAGGGTCAGATTGGTATAACCGATTTAATTTTCTCATCGTAGAAACAACAATCGGCAACGCTAAAAAAAACTGCACACATGCAAGGACTAGTCACGAGAAAAGCTTAAGCTTCAATTGAAGGCTTTGCTTGCAACGAAAACTTGTACGAGAAAGCAGTTGGAGAAATACGATGTTTCGGCTATCCTACAGCTATTGTTATCAGCTTCATCAATAGACTCATCCGGTTTCCTAGACCTCTCTCAGGCAAACCCAGAACACTGAAAGAGTACGCTCAATTTATTACAGCCACTCGCACACTTGAAGAACTGGAGTTTCCTTCCGATCTGCAATCAACAATTATACTGAGACATGCTACTGAAAAATTGACTTACAGTGAGCACGCAAAATAAAACCAGTTTCTTCCATCTCTCCAGAACTTCAACAAGTAGATACGAACGCTGGCAGAAGCACAAAAGATCCACCTTGATGACGACGATACCAGATCAAGTAATGCAAAAGAGCGATAAAACGACAGACCAGTAGGAACGAGGATGACATCAGATTGGCAACAGATATGGATCAATGAACGCATCCATTTCTTTCCAATACTACTGGTGCAAACAACAAACTTCTTGCTTCTTCAACGACGGACATCACGCTTTAATGCACTGCCCAACGTTCAGCTCTGAAACACCTAATGATCGCTGGACCGCAGTACAACAACTGAATCTTTGTATCAACTGTTTGAAGTCTGGGCATAGATCTCGTGACTGTCTCTCAAAATTCCAATGGCCGTTCTCCGGGTTGCAACAGGCGACATCATTCACTTCTTCACGGAGCTAACTTCACAACATGCGGAAAACAGCTATTCATAGAAAAAAAAACAATTAAATAACTAAAAGCTGCTCTTCAACAGCATTGAGACTCAACGAGTTGTTCAAAACACCACGGAGAAAACGCAGGCCATGGAGTATCTACTCTACATTCTACCAGTGAAGTCAGTACCTACGCGTTTTTGGACCCTGGATGCACGCTAACTATGATTTTGAGCGAAACAGCAAACAAACTGAAGCTTGAAAAACTGGAGCGGAAACGAATTTGCGGCCAATGGCTCAGATGTCAAAACTTGTAATACAACAGCTGCACAGATATCAAGCGTAGGCGGAAAAGAAAATTATGAATTGAAAAACACTTGTAAGGTGGATCAAAATTTCTTACCAACCTTTTAACAGCATCCAGCCGATAAACTGAAGCAGCACAAACGCCTAGAAGATATTAGCCTTCCAAAACTAGACACGAAGGAAGTGACAATCATCATTGGACAGGACAACTTCAATTTGATCTCCTCGCTTCAAATAAAATTTGGGCCTGCAAACACGCCAAGCGCAGTTAAGTTCAAACATGGATGGGCTCGTTCTGGACCTCATACACGTACTACGAAACACCATAACTCGATACATTATGTCACAATGTTTTCTGAGACATGTCTTGACCGGGACAACAGCATCTTCGACGAAGTAGCTTATTGGTGGAATGCAGTATCACTTTCAACGTACAAAGAGAAGCCCCAATCAGCGGAAGACAAAAGAGCAAACGAAATTCTACGGGAAACCTGCTGTCGTCTACCAGGCGGAAGATACGAGACGGGACTTCTATGGGCTAAGGACTCGAGCTCACCAAACAATGAACCATTGGCGCGGACACATCCACGACATCTTTTAGTAAGACTTCGAAGGGAGCCAAAAATGTACAGCAAATACGACTAAGGCATACAAATACATCTACAAAAAGGCTATCTACAAAAAGCTTCGAAGAATGAAGAAGTCGATACCGAATGGTACATACATTGCGGACTGGTGAATCCAAACAAACCTGATAAAATCAGACGCATTAGCAACGCTTTCGGAGGCGTTTGCTTAAGCGACAAGCTGTTAGCGGGACCAGATCTGCTGGTTGACATGCTACGGATCATTTCTTCTTTCCGAGTTTCTGCATTGGCACTACAGGCAGATATAGAAGGAATGTTCATGCAAGTCAGCCTTAGAGAGTCGGACAGGAAATTTCTTAGCTTTCTCTGGAACAGTCCTAATTCAGCAACTACTGAGGTTTATGAAAACCAATGACATATTTTTGGAGCATGAGATTCACTTGCTTGAGCTAACTTTGCCTTAGTTTAGACTGCCAGAGATAACGCTGGTTCACAAAACCTTATATTAAAAATAGTAGAGGGAAACTTTTATATGGACGAACTACTCATGTCACTGGAAACAGTTGGCGAAGCAGAAAACCTGGCAACGCAGCTGAAACAAACATTGAGCAGAGGATTGCAGAAGACACGCTTGTCAAATCGTAGACAGAAATGCTTGACGGCAATTTCAATCAGGAGAGGCATCCATCGGAACCTGGCATGTGAAGAAATTTCAATTCAGCCAAAAAACGGACCCAATGCACAAAAAGAATGGACTCAGAGAAAACTTTTGTCAAATGTTTCATTCTAAATCATTCTAATAAACACTTGGAGATCAGTTCAACGATGGGACCAACCTCTGGAGAAGCAGGATAGCAAAGAATTTCGAGGTCGATCATGTTGGTCAATTACAACCAGTGAAAAATGGACGAGTTTTTTTAGCGCAGGTTGTCAAGAGAGAGTTACATATCTTCTGTGATGCTTCTTTGTCGGCAACAGCCGTAGTATCATAGATCAGAGTTATAGATGGCGAAAACATGACTGTAAATTTCCTTCTGGGCAAAACACGAGTAATCCCATTACGACAAAACACAAAACCTCGACTTGGGCTACAACGAGCATTGAACACAGTCAGACTACGAGAAATACCGGTCCGTTATCTTCTACTCAAATTTAGCCAGATATTCATTTCGACAGACAGCAACAGTTCTTGCATGGATCCGCAACCCTCAAGAAAAACAGGAAATGTTCATTTCAAACAGGATTGTCGAAACTCTAGAGTCAACTCACCATAGTGACTGGTATCACATCGACACACACACAAACCCTGCGGACCAAGAGGAATGAACGCGAAAAGAAAAACATTTCATCTTCCATGTGGATCAGAGGTCCCCATTCTCTTGTGCAGAAAAAAGAACTGCACTCAAATCTGCCACAAAACTCGCGCTCTTGTTAGGATTAAATTAGGATTAAACGTAGAATTGAGCTCTCTACTCCCCAATACCACCCACACAGGATGAAAACCTATTTTGCAAAGTTAGGTGACTAAGCCGTTTAAAGCATAAATTGATGCCACATAAAATTTAGCCAAGAAAAAAAAGATTTTTACGAAAAAAATAGGAACTAACCTATTTACAATTTACAGAATTAGTCAAAAACACTATACTCAATTAAAATGAAAATCGCTGACAGCAGAAAAACAGGTCCCGATCAGATTTTAACTTAGCAAGTTTGCTGTCTTGGGCACAGATGTTTCCTCTGGACCAATTGCTAACCTATCAAAAGACTCCAGTGCAATGATTCTGTTTTAAAAAAAATGTTAAACCAAAAAAACTATTGTTCCAACCATTGAAAATGGGGGAATTTTGTATTCGGGTGTGTTTTAGTTGTTCTTTTTTGTTTTTCGCGCAAAATCAGTTGGCACAAATAATCATCGGAATGGGTTGAATAATATATCATATTAAAACTCTTTCAGCCGTGATTCAAACATTTTAAGAAATCCAAAAAAAATCCCCTGTTGAGAAAAACCGGTTTCAAATTTTTTGGTTTTTCGTCAAATTTCGATCGAACAAAGTAACTATAACTCGTTAAATTCGTCATTTTGGCTAAAAAAAAAACTTGCCTTTTCTAAACCGAATTAATTTTGAAAGCCATATTTGGCACTTCCCTGGCAAGAAAAAATTTTCAAAAAAAAAATACTTTAAAAACAGAAAAAAAAAAATCGAGTTTCGTTTCATTTTTGGTTTGATTTTCTTCTTTTGAGGACAACTGTTATCGAGTATGACAAATTACTAATTTTTTAAGCGTGTTTATAGTTTTATCATCACATCACTATTATTTTGAAAAACTTTAATTTGAAAATTATTAATTTGGTAACCTTTAATTTTTTGTAGACTATGGTCGGTCGGAACATTCTGTGCTACTTGCACAGGAACCGGCTATCCTCGTTCCGATTTGATAACACTTGCTAGTCGTAAGGGTTATAAACAACTAAAAAAAAGGCTAGCAGGTTACTGTGCACGTAGCACAGAATGTTCCGACCATAGTCAACAAAAAAAAATAAAACACATCATAGGATTTATCAAATTAGTGTTGTAAGTTCTGGGTGGTGTGATAAAGGAGCTGAACAAAAAACTAGAAACTAGCCACATTCGAGGGTCGTAGTATAATAGAAAAATGACTATTCTGAGTTGACTAGTCAAAAAACAAGTCAGCTGCTAAATCAATGGAAATTGAACGAAGGACAAGAATTTTAAAAAATGGACCAGTACTTCTTATATTATACGATTGATAATTAATTCAAATTTAGAAATTCTAAAAACTTAGAATTATTTCAGATGCTTTGAAACGTTCTAGATACAAGAACAGAGAGCAGCTATGTTTCAACGAAGAATCAGTTGTCACATGGATCAAATTTCAGACCTTAATCTATATTACAAGTTCAAAGCAAAGACTGGAATAATTGATTCCACTGTACATGCATTGCTTAAAAGTCAATATATACGCTTCAGATTCACGAAGTATTATTATCAACCCTATAAAAATTTCATAGACATCTAATGTCGAATCAAAAATATAGATTTTCTAACATAAATTGCATTTCCTTCAAAAAAAACTTACTCAGCCGCTTGAAGCTTTGCGATATCGCTCTTTTCACTTTCTTCATTCCAATGCGGCTGTATATGACGATATGGCAAGTTTTTAACCATTCATATTTCTTGATATGACACTCGAAGGCTGCTCATTGTAATTAAATCTCTTTGAGATATCTTAATCGGGCATGCGATATCTAAAAAAAATCATTAAGGTAATAGCATTTAAATAAGTCAGCGTTTGCAAGCCTGTCTCTATTAATCAATCAACTCGCAATGGTATGTTTGTAAGACTTTTCGAGGTTAAGTAGTAGTAGTACGGATTTTGTGCACATAGCAAAAGGGTCGTTTTCTAGTCGTTTCTACCAGAAATAGATTTGTTTGTGCACATAGCACAAGGGTCGTTTTCTAGTCGTTTTTACCAGTAAAAGAATTATTTGTGCATATAGCACAAGGGTAGTTTTCTAGTCGGTTTTACCAGAAAAAGAATTAGTTCAGATGCTTCGAAACAAATCGGCAAAACAAACCTAATTTAAGCATTATCCTAAAACACAAAAAACTGGAAAAAAATCTTCAAATAGCATTGACTGAAGATCAAGCAATTTACGAAGAAACAGTAACAAGTAGTAGACGATTCAGTGACCTGCAAAAATACTTGAACAAAATAAGTAGTTCCAGGAAATATACCCAAAAAATGTTCTACAAGGAAAAATCCACAAGAGATGACACCCAAAAAGCTACATTTTTTAACGAATTTTTCATCAGTGTATATCAAAAGGAATCAATTCCTAACCCTCTCGCACGAAATACAAACTGTTCTCCTACAGAAGAAATCTGTACACAAATACACATTGAAGAAACCAAAATCCAATACATTCTCAAAAATCTTTTAACAAATAAAGCGTCAGGTTTTGATGGTATAGGTAATATAATCCTAAAAAATCTTTCTGAAACTCTGTCAAAATCGCTCTATCTTCTCTTCCGCACATTCATTAACAAGCGGCTCTTCCCGACCTACTGGAAAACAAGTCAAGTGGCCCCAATTTTTAAAGAAAAGAACAAGGCGTCAGTCGAGTGCTACCGCCCAATTAGCCTCTTATGCTCCGCCTCGAAGGTCTTCGAAAAAATTATCTTTGATAATATATACCCCAAAGTTCAACCTTTCCTAGAAAACGCACAATACGGCTTCCGGCAAAAAAGGTCAGCAGTATTACAAATGGTACAATTTTTGAGCAAAGTATATGAACTCTACGATGACAAAAATGTTCAAACACTATCAGTCCTTTATCTAGATTTTTCTAAAGCCTTTGATAAAGTTCCTCATAGTATCCTAGTCGCCAAACTACGGAACATAGGTCTAAGCATTCAAATACAAGACATAATACAAGACTATCTAACAGATAGAATGCAGTTTGTGAAAATCAATAAAAGTTCATCAACTCTGAAAGAAGTAACTAGCGGTGTACCACAGGGCTCAATTCTTGGCCCTCTACTTTTTATCATATTCATTAACGACTTTCCCAAATGCATTGAGAATTCAGATTGTTTTGGCAATTGTGACGATATGAAGATCTTGTCTACTGAAGAAATTCATCTGCAAAAAGACACGGCAAATGTTGAAAAATGGTGCAAAGAAAATAAAATGCCGCTGAATGAAGATAAATGTAATTTGTTAAACCTCAAAGGGAAAATGGAAGTTACACTATTTAATACAAATGTTGATACCGCAAAGACCCAAAAAGACTTAGGTATTTTAATGTGTGACAACCTTTCGTGGTCAGTAAATGCTGAAAATCGCATATCAAAAGCAATGGGAGCTTTTTACAAAATCAAACGAAATATCTCGAAAAAAAACATCATTAAAGTCAAAATTAAACTTATACTGCGGATACATCGTACCAATCATAAGCTATGCATCGCAAACATGGTATCCGAACAAAGCAGAATTAAGACAACTAGAAAGAGTACAAAAACGAGCGACATCTTGGATTACAAATAACTTCAAAATGAGTTATACTGAAAGACTGAAATTTTTAAAGCTCCTTCCACTCTCAATGTACTTTGAATTACACGACATATTGTACTTAGTTTCACTACTAAAAAATAAACATGACATTGATTTGAATACAATTATTCATAAAAACGAATCACGAACGAGACAAGCAACACGTGGTGAGATTGCTGTTCATGCAACAAGACTGAAAAAGTCAAATGAAAATTATTATATACGTTCTAATACGCTATACAACTACTTTAGCCAAATTGTGGACTTCGAAAATCAAGATTATGACAGCCTGAAAATATCTATAACAAACACGTTTTGGAAATTCTTCAACAGAAATTTTGCAGAAAACAACTTGTGTATGTGGAGAATTCTTTGCTGGTGTGGAAACTGCAACCCACCGGGAAAAATTATGAACTTATAAACGAGGGTTCAAAACCCATGGAGAAATCCTAAAGCCTACACTACTACTACTACTACTACTACTAAACGTTCTAGATACAAGAACAAAGAGCAGCTGTTCAAATATGACAAGTTCAAAGCAAAGACTGGAAAAAATGAAGCCTCTAAAGTTGTCAACGATCTTCCGATTAATTTTGCTTTCAACAACCCAATCGCTCTCAAAGTCCGCCTTCTAAATATTTGTGGCAACACTGCATAGTAAGCTTCTAGTACATGGACACTGACACCTTGAAACTGAAATAGAAAAAAAACATCAAACTCAGGGTCACTGACCCTTGCCATTAATGGCTATATCTAAATTAATAATGATAATAAGAATCTTAATAATAATAAAAAAGCAAATAACAAGGCAAGCTTTTTATTCAACTCATGTACTTTGAAAAATTTCAAGAAATTTAGCTGCAGTCAGTTTCCCAAACTTTGCTGAGCGTGACATAAAGGTAATAGTGTGCCAGTCGGTCATATTTGGATGTTTGACCTTGAGAGAAGCAAAAAACACTTGATTTTGGAGTGAAATTTAATTTTTCAAAAATTCGAATGGAGCCTGTCATGCACGATTTTCTCGCGATAACTGAAAGTCAAAAAAGAGAATTCAGAACAATCGAGTGACAATCGCGGGAAAGTTGCAAGATAAATCAGAAGGAAATTGCCATCCGCAATTTCCGAGACAATAATAATCTAGAGTAGAGCTGTCCTATTTGAAATAGAAGACAGAGTGTTCCTGAGAACTGGACAATTATCCAACTGGTCAACTATTCGAACTGGACCAGAGTGAACCTTCGGTGGAAAGGTGGACAGCTTGAGTGTCCCAATGGTCCACATAAAACTGCATTCTAGAGTACAAACTTATTCCTGTTGTTGAAACTAGCAAGCATTAAACTCATTTAGTTACACTATTTAATTCTTGAGTTGCTTACCGACTTAATTACTCCCAATTCTTGAGCGTGCTACAATGTGAGTACCAATTAAAATTTCTAGAGTGTGTTTTATAATTGTTATGTTGAGGTAAGGCGAGTTTTAGGTTGATCCATCTGAAATGGATCAAAGTTCCACTGTCTAATAAAAAGTAACTTAGCGGATTGTTCCGACCCGGTTTTTAACGGCGTTCATGTATTTTGGGTATCTAGAGACCTGAGTATGGGGACGTTATTATTTCTAGAGTGGGGGAAAATTTTGGTAGTAGCCTTTAAGCTGTAACGGGTCGTAGTCTCATGTCACAAGCGAACCGAATTGGCTCCGACTGATTTGAGGTAGAAAAACACAAGAGATAGTGTCCCTGACTCTTGAGCCAATGGTTATAGGGCCTATTTTTCTTAAGCCTCATGTGTGACTGCAGTAGACGAATGTTACATAGTGTTTTTATGGCGCTCCTGGGTGTTTACGACATCAAGACTACGGAGTCGAACCCACTTGAGACAGCTTCGGGCTAAATGCCCATTCTAGAGTACCGGCGGTGCGGTTCGACAGGAACGTGCAAACCTTCCGGTTGTACCGTGATAGCTTTTTAAGAAAACTCGAGAAAACTTCCTGGTACGCTCTCCGAACGAGGCTTAGCTAACCGAGTAAAGGGGGGCAACTAGGGGGACAAAAACACGAGCAAAAAGACAAAAAGCAAAACAAAAACCAAAAGAAAAAGAATAGAAAAAGGAACAAAAACCATAAAACGGAAAAAGACAGTGACTTTGACACCAGATTAGTTGGATCAAACCTTTATATTAATTAAATAGTATACCCATACTGTTTTACAAGTTCGATCGTTTCGATCAACCTAGTAATTTAACCCAGTAACCTTAATAAAGAGCCCGAGTGTGGGGCGTTGTCAAGGGTTTTTAGATAGCTTGGAACTTAGCTGGACAACAAGGAGACTTGACTGGAAGAGGTGACCAGCCGAGTGGGAAAGTGGTTCAGGAGCACTTGAGCTGAACCAATAGGAGACTTGACTGGAAGAGGTGACCAGCCGAGTGGGAAAGTGGTTCAGGAGCACTTGAGCTGAACCAATAGGAGACTGGACTGGAAGAGGTGACCAGTCGAGTGGGAAAGTAGCCAAGAAGGATTTGGCAGTTCTCGAGTTCTCAAGTTGGGCAGAACGGGTATCGTTAAAATTCACATTACATTATAGGAAATAAGTGTAAAATTGGATAAGCGATATCCCCCGGTTTTGAGGAACGTTTTTACTTGAGCAGGCCTGGAGATAGGTCTACGGTTTTCTCTTGAGAGGTTTAGCACCCGGCGCTTAAGGTAATTTTAGGCTTAAGAAGGGGGGCTAAAAAGGGGGGAGGTTAGAAGGGGGGCAGGTTAAGTTAGAGGTTGGCGGTTATAATTTGTAAAAAGGGGGGAAATTAGAGTAACTTATTAGTCGACATCGTTGATTTAGTTACATTAGTCTTTTACACGCGTTGGTCATAGGAAGCGGATATCCAAAATTGGAATTAGGTTAAGGTAGGTACCCTGGTCGGATCGGTAGGGGGGAACGGACATAGACAGTTTTTGTGATACCCCATAAGATCGCTAGCAGGGGGGAAGGAAACGCGTGGCACTTAGGTACCAGACATTTTTTCGATAGAAGGTAGACATTTGTCACCTTTGAATTTTAGGTGGGCTCATCTTTCCGTTTTTATTACTTTTTCCAGCTTGGATTTTTGTTGCATTTTGGTGAGGATTTGTGTTTAGTTTTTGTACGAACAGGTGATCACAAGATACCTGCGCACAGGTTTTGGTCTCAAGTTGCTT